CATGGTAATGATATTTTTGGTGTGACAAATACTGGGGTGATTATGGGGACATTAGAGCAGTCTCCTTGAAGTCAAGGCTATTCTGGAATACTGGGGTCTCTGCAAACCCTTTCTGCTTTCTCTTCTCTCTGCTCTCAAGCCCTCTCTACAACACAAATAGCTTGATTTCTTTTACGTGCATAATTTCAAAATGTATTTCATTTCTCTACATGCTCTGTTTGTTAGAGCCTTTTGCAAATGTAATCAACTTAAAAGAGGTCTGGCATGTGCCATCCTGGGCTGTATCCCATACATAAACTCTCTTTGTGAAACTGTGAGCACCTCCCATCACCTGAATCTTATTCTCATGATCATCATTTTAAACGCCCTGGCTGTGCTGCTGAAAATTGCAGCTCTGAAAGACATACTCAAAATCCCTGCCTAAGAAAACAGTGCATCATTGGGCTTGCACAAAATAAAATCTTTGGGTGCTGAACCCTTGCACTTAATATTCCTCAACAGCTGGCTGAAGGGAACACACCCAGAGGTAATTTGCATTTACCTCCTGAATAAACTTTCTAATCAAAAGTACTTTGGAATGAAGCATGTTGGAATATGCTGCATTTGCAGTGGGTGGGGTTGATTTATTCATCTGCCCATGCAGCGTATGCTGCTTATGCAGTGCTTTATGGCAATCACAGGTTTGACTGTTCCATTTTTCTCTAACCAATGCTCTAGTGGGCTGCTTGCTTTTTATTATCACAGTGCTCAGAGCTGCAGGGTTCACTGTTTCTATGATTGCTGTCTTGGGGATTAGAATGGCTTTTCTTTTGGTTATTAGTATTGCAGAAGAAACCAATTATCAAATATGAAGTAATCTTGTGGTGATCTTCTCAAATGCCAGCCTCATGAAGACCCCAACTAGGAGGTCATTCCTAACACCACATGCAGATTTCCTCAACCTTTACCACTCAGAGGACCCATGACTCACACAACAGAGCATTGACTCATATGGGAGTGTGCTCTAAAGGCAGATTCACACGCCCCACCCAGGGCGACTGAAGTACAAGGTACATTTTACAGGATCTGCAGCTGCTTTGTGCACATTAATGCCCAAGTGGCACCATCCTCAGCCACCCTGGGGTTTGGGAGTCTTTTGAGGCATTACTCCAGTGCTTCCACAAACAGGATCCCATTCAATACAGCAACCTAGTGGCAGCTGCTATCCTCATCTCACATGGTGGGAAAAGAAGGCTCAGCAAACCCATGTGAATGGTGGAGTTTGTTGGGAACAGGCCCCCCAAAATCTGGCCATTAACTGGCCCCAAACTGGCCATAAACAAAATCCCTGCAACACTGTGACATGTTCATGATGGCCATAATGCCCATGCTGGAAGGTTGTGGGTTTACTGGAATGAGGGCAAGGGACACCTGGCCCACGCAGGGTGGAAAACCGCTTAAAGGTGTTCTTAAACCACAAACAATAGCATGAGCACTCTGTGCCTTAAGGACATGTTCCTCCTACAGATAACTAGCCAGAGCCTATTGCTTTATTTCAGCCCATCCCTTGGTTTCCCATAAGGGATACTTTTAGTTAATCTAATATCTAAAGAAACAATGCTAATGACTGACTTGCTGTTAATAAATATGTGGGTAAATCTCTGTTCGGAGCTCTCAGCTCTGAAGGCTGTGAGACCCCTGATTTCCCACTTCACACCTCTATATTTCTGTGTATGTGTCTTTAATTCCTCTAGCACTGCTGGGTTGGGGTCTCCCCGACTGAGCTGGTCTCAGCAAGTGGCGCCCAATGTGGGTCTCAAATCCAGGTAGAAGGGTTGCCAGAGTGACAGTTGGAGAACTTGGAACTAAGCTGGAGGACACCCGAGTACTCTTAAGGCAATCCCTGTGTTGAGTAAGGGGGGGAGCTTGGAAGCATCAGGGTAACAATGGGACAAGTGTGGGTTCTGGTTTGTTCCACCTTGGAACTTTTTCACACTAATGATGAGGGGTAAGGAGAGTATAACAAAATAACAGAAGAGGTTACAGAGCAGGTTTATTTGCCAGCTAAAGCTAAAGCAGCAAAGGAGGGAGAGGTTCATCCCTACCCTTCTGCACCCCCTCATTATTATTTTGGAAAAAAAAAGAGTGGCCTGACCCTCCAGATCTTTCTTTTCTGGAGGACACTGGGGGAAAAGTAGTGGCCCCAGTGACTGTTCAAGCAGTGCCTCGAGTGACTGCTCTCAGTTCTATTCAGGCAGGAATTCAGCAAGCTAGACACGAGGGTGATTTAGAGGCTTGGCAGTTCACTGTTAGAATACACCCCCCAGATCAACAGGGACATGTTATAGCTACATTTGAGCCTTTTCCTTTTAAATTACTCAAAGAATTTAAACAAGCTATTAATCAGTATGGACAAGATTCTCCTTTTGTAATGGGACTGTTAAAGAATGTTGCTGTTTCCAGTTGGATGATTCCTACCGACTGGGATGCTCCTACTTGAGCTTGTCTAACTCCTGCTCGGTTTTTACAATTTAAAACTTGGTGGGCAGATGAAGCTTCCATTCAGGCTGCTTGCAATACCCAGGTCCAACCTCAAATTAATATAACTGCAAACCAACTTTTGGGGGTTGGTGGCTGGGCTGGTTTAGATGCACAAGTGGTCATGCAGGATGATGCCATAGAACAGCTTAGAGGAGTGTGCATTAGAGCTTGGGAAAAAATCACTTCATGTGGAGAACAATATCCTTCCTTTAGTGCTATAAATCAGAGACCAAAAGAACCATACATGGATTTTATAGCTCGGTTACAGGAGTCTCTTAAAAAGATGATTGTAGATTCGGCTGCTCAGGATATAGTATTGCAGTTATTAGCTTTCAACAATGCTAATCCTGATTGCCAGGCTGCTCTGCAACCTATTAGAGGGAAAGCACATTTAGTTGATTATATCAAGGCCTGTGATGGTATTGGAGATAATCTGCATAAGGCTACTCTGCTAGCACAGGCAATGGCAGGACTGAGAGTGGATAAAGGAAATACTCCATTACCTGGAGCTTGTTTTAACTGTGGGAAGCATGGTCATACTAAAAAAGAGTGTAGAAAAAAATCAGTGAGTCAGGCCGCCAGACAGGGGAGAAAAGAAAACTGCTGAGTCTGAAATATGTCCAATTTGTAAAAAAGGAAAACACTGGGCTAATCAGTGTCACTCTAAGTTTGATCAAGGTGGGAACCCAATTTCAGGAAATGCCATGAGGGATGTGTCCCAGGCCCCATTCCAAACAGGGCCATTTCCAGCTCAGACCATTCCCTCACCCCTGTACAATGTCTGTCCCCTGCCACAGTCAGTAGTGCCGCATCAGATTTATGCTGTGCAAAAACTGTGAGTCTTCTGCCTGGGGAACCTCCACGAAAGGTCCCAACAGGAGTCTGTGGACCCTTGCCAGTAGGGACGATAGGATTACTTTTAAGAAGGTCTAATTTAACTTTAAAAGAGGTACAAATACATACAGGAGTCATTGATTCAGATTATAATGGGGAAATTCAAATTGTTGTATCTACTTCTGTTCCCTGGAAGGCAGAGCCAGGAGAGCACATAGCACAGCTCCTGATTGTGCCATTATGTGGGAATGGGAAAAAGTGAAATTAAATGAACAGGAGGATTTGGAAGCACAAATAAACAAGGCAAACAAGGCAGCTTATCGGGTAAGTCAAACTACTGATAAATGTCCTACCTCTGAAATAACTATTCAGGAAAAGAAATTTAAAGGTTTGGTAGATATAGGAGCAGACATTTAGATCATTTCTCTATAGCACTAACCTTCTGCATGGCCAATTCAACCTGCTCAATTTAACATAGCTGGAGTTGGTAAAGCTCCTGAAGTATATCAAAGTAGCTATATTTTGCATTGTGAAGGGCCTGATAGACAACCTGGGACTCTTCAACCAATTATAACTTCTGTATCTATGAATTTATGGGGGAGAGATTTATTATAACAGTGGGGAGTACAAGTTCTAATTCCAGAACAATTATATAGCCCTCAAAGTCAACATATAATGCATGAAATGGGGTATGTCCCTGGTATAGGACTAGAAAAAAATTTGCAAGCTTTGAAAGAACTGCCTCAAGCAGAAAGACAAAGTTCCTGCCAAAGATTAGAATATCATTTTTGATGGTGGCCATTGTTAAGCCTCCAGAACCTATACCTTTAAAATGGTTAACAGATTCAAGCCTGTAATCCCAGCACTTTGGGAGGCCGAGACGGGCGGATCACGAGGTCAGGAGATCGAGACCATCCTGGCTGACACCGTGAAACCCCGTTTCTACTTTAAAAATACAAAAAACTAGCCGGGCGAGGTGGCAGGCGCCTGTAGTCCCAGCTACTCGGGAGGCTGAGGCAGGAGAATGGCGTGAACCCGGGAGGCGGAGCTTGCAGTGAGCCGAGATCGCGCCACTGCACTCCAGCCTGGGCGGCAGAGCGAGACTCCGTCTCAAAAAAAAAAAAAAAAAAAAAAAAAAAAAAAAAAAAAAAAATGGTTAAGATAGAACAATGGCCACTAAGTAAAGAGAAACTGGAGGCTTTAGAGAAATTATTTCCTGAACAATTAGAAAATGGGCACATAGCTCCAACGTTTTCCCCTTGGAATTCTCCAGTTTTTGTAATTAAGAAAAAAGTCAGGTAAATGGATAATGTTAACTGACTTAAAAGCCATCAATTCAGTTATAGAACCTATGGGAGCATTACAGCCAGGATTGCCTTATCCTGCTATAATTCCAAAAAATTGGCCTTTAATAGTCATAGATTTAAAAGATTGTTTCTTTACTATATCCTTAGTTGAGCAAGACTGTGAACGGTTTGCATTTACAATTCCTGTGGTAAACAACCTGCAGTCTGCTAAGCGTTTTCATTGTTTTACAGATGGGTCTAGTAATGGTAAAGCTTCTTATTCTGCTTCGAAAAGTAAAGTTTTCCAGATGCCCTATACTTCAGCTCAAAAAGCAGAGCTTGTAGCTGTAATTGAGGTATTGACTGCTTTTGATATGCCTTTTAATGTGATTTCTGATTCTTCATATGTGGCTCATTCCACACAGTTAATTTAAAATGCTCAGTTACTATTTCATACAGATAAATAACTAATGACAAAAACAAAAAAGGGGGAGAATAGGGATTATGGGACAGCCCATACACAACTGAATCTAGCATTATTAACTTTAAATTTTTTGAGCCTGCCCAAAGGCCAGATGTTATCAGCAGCTGAACAGCATCTACAGAAACCAGCTGCAAAGACAGAAGCAGAACAACTGGGTTGGTGGAGAGATCCGATAACAAAAAGTTGGGAAATAGGTAAAATAATAAATAATAACTTGGGGTAGAGGTTATGCTTGTGTTTCTCCAGGCCAAAATCAACAACCAATTTGGATATCATCAAGACACCTGAAACCTTATTATGAGCCAGATGCTGAGGAAGAGATTCCAGGAGGATCCCAAGGACCCCCTGGTTGAAGCCATGTTGAGACTGATGCTGAAGAGGACCCCAACTGCCACGACCAACACCCATTGAACATAGCCACCCACCTGGGATCAGATCAAGAAGCTATCACAGATGGCGGAAGAAAACCTGAGGAAAGCGGGACAACCAGTCACAATGAGTAATTGAATGGTAGCTATGATGGCGGTGATCACCACTGCCGTGAGTATTCCTTCAACAAGGGCTGACACAGAGAGCAATGATACTCGTTGGGCATATTTATCAATCTTGGCTGGTAATAATGCCTGGATGTAATCACTCTATGACACAGTTACACATGTTTTCCGATCTCAGTATGTACTATAACAAATCTGCTCCTATAATTGAGGCATACCACCCTCAAAAACCTATTTGTAAACAGAATTGAACCTGGCCAGAAAGAATGAACATATTTGTTTAGGAGGATTGCATTGCAGAACAGGCAGAGGTGCTGCACAATGATTCCTATGGAATCATTAATTGATCCCCTAAGGGGATGGTTAGCTTGAATTGCACCTCTCAGTCTGCATGCCATGGCCACACTATGTTCAGATGATCTGAACAAAACAGTCAGATGGTAGAAATGATAAGAAGTACGGCAAGAGTTCCTATTATCTGGAACTACGGAGCTATAGTGGCACCTCAACCTCAAATGATATGGCCCGCTCTAGAAGCTAAACACAAGGATTTGTAGAAACTATTAATAGTTCTTAATAAGATCAAAATTCGGGAAAGAATAAAAAAGCATCTAGAAAGACACTCTACAAACTTGTTTTTGGATATTGCAAAATTAAAAGAACAAATATTTAAAGCATTCCAGGCACACCTGACTTTAATGCCAGGAACTGGAGTGCTTAAAAGAGCTGCAGACAGATTAGCAGCTAGTAACCCAGTAAAATGGATAAACACACTTGGAAGTTCTGTGATTTCAATGATGATTGTGCTTTTAATCTGTGTTGTCTTTGTATAGTCTGCAGATGCAGATCCTGACTCCTGCGAGAAGTAGCTCACCATGACAAAGCTGCCTTTGCTTTTATCACTTTGAAAATCAAAGAAGAGGGAGGAGTTCATTGGCTTTGGTCAAAGACTAGGATCACCTATAAAAGGCGGACCCCTTGCCGCTGGATTAACATGGTTCCATTGTGACGTGTTTTCAGAATCCTGCACATTGCCATTATGGAGGGTTGCTGTGTCTGTCACTGCGAGAATTTGGTTACCATCTTTCTCCCCAACCATACTAGAACCCTATGAGCCCCAGGGTTCAAACTCCAGGGTGGCTGAGAACCCTAGCCGTACGGGGTGGAAGCACTGACTCTTGGAGGAATCAGAATTCAGCCCAGGCCTCTGAGGGACTCTCCATCCTGCCTGTGCACCAGAAAAAAAAAAACCCTGATTGTTTTAAATCAGTTGCTTAGTTCCCTTTGACCCACTGACTTAGAATCTCCTGGGCCCATGGTCCTGGTGCCTGTTTTGTTATAAAGTTCCCAGCCTTATGCAGCCAGGCTAGGAGCCTGCATGCAAAACAGTCACCCCATCCAGCCACTCACTGGGCCCTAGGAAAAAATGAGATGTCAAGCAGCTGCTAACGTTGATTTGGCAGCTAACACTGTGGTTGTGCTCTGTAAGTGTCTTAGGTTGCTTGTGCGTGATTTCAATGCCAGTCCCTTCAAGATGGAACCCCTGATGTTTCCCCATTAACCTGGTCCTCGTCTCATGGTCCTTGACTCTGCAAATGGCACCAACCTATGCAGTGTGGAAGACAGACACCTAAGAATGCTCTGTAATGTTCTCTTCCTTTTCTCTCATATTCAACCCATCTCTAAGCTACTACCTGTCAATTTTACCTCCTAAGTGTCTCTCCAACATATCCACTTGGTGTCCATCATCACCATAGCTACTGACCTCTTCCAGGCTACAGTCTACAATCCTCTTGCTTGGACTCCTGCAGGAGCCTTTGAATTCTCTCTACATTCATTCTGACCCCTCCAATCCATTCTCCACACTGCGGTAGGCAGCATCTCCACTGGCACCCAGACATTCCCACCCCCTGGCATTCACTCCCTGGTACAATCTCCTCCTGAGTGTGGGCCACATCAGGTGACTTGTTTCTATGAATAGAATATTGTAAAAGTGACAGAATGCCACATTTCAGATTAGGTTACAAAAAGAATGTTTTCTGTCTCTCCTGCCTTCCCATTCTGGGGGAATCAAATTGCCATGTTGTGAGAAGCCTTAGGGAGAGGCTCATGAGACAATGAAGAAATGCCTCCAGCCGGCAGTGAGCAAAGGCCTGAGGTCTGCCAACAGCCACTTGGTAACCTTGGATATGAATCCTCTCCCCAGGCAATCCTTGAGATAGCTGCAGCTCCCACTGACACTGGATTGTAACATTGTGGGAGACCGAGAGTCAGAGGACCCAGCTAAGCCATGACCAAGTTCCTAGCCCAAAGAACCGTGAGATGATAATATAAGTTGTTCTATGCCACTGCCCTTTGGGGTAATTTGTTACACAGCAATAAATAACTGATACACCTATTATACCACACTCTCCTTTACTTCAAGACCACCCAGCCTTTAAGAATAAAGACTAAAACCCTTGACACCTAAGGGCCTTTGTGACCTGGACTCTGCTGACCTCTGCACCTCACCTGGCACAAGGCTCCCCTACTTTCAGGGTTCCAGACATCTCATCTTCTGGCAGGTCCTTGAAGAAGTTTAGCTTTCTCTGGACAGAGGGCCTTTGCACAGGTCCCTCTGCTTCAGATCCCTTCGACCCAATTTCAGGAAACGCCATGAGGGGTGTGTCCCAGGCCCCATTCCAAACAGGGGCATTTCCAGCTCAGACCATTCCCTCACCCCTGTACAGTGTCTGTCCCCTGCCACAGTCAGTAGTGCCGCATCAGATTTATGCTGTGCAAAAACTGTGAGTCTTCTGCCTGGGGAACTTCCACAAAAGGTCCCAACAGGAGTCTGTGGACCCTTGCCAGCAGGGACGATAGGATTACTTTTAAGAAGGTTAATTTAACTTTAAAAGAGGTACAAATACATACAGGAGTCATTGATTCAGATTATAATGGGGAAGAACCTGTCTCAAAAATAAATAAATAAATAAATAAATAAATAAATAAATAATAAATAATAAAAACCCCAAGCTAGGAAGAACCTGGAGACTGAATACTCCTCAAGTGAAACACAATCTCTACAGAACATTCTTCTTCTTCTTCTTCTTTTTTTTTTTTTTTTTTGGAGACAAGGTATTGCAATGTTGCCCATGCGGGAGTGCAGTGGCTATTCACAGGTGCAACCACAGGACACTATGGCTTTAAACTCCTGGGCTCAGGTGATCCTCCTGCCTCAGCCTCCCAAGTATTTGGAACAACAGGCATGCACCACCATGCCTGACTCAGAACCTTATTCTTAAAGGTATTATCCAGGAATATGGGGCAAAGACATGTGGGGGAAGGGACTTCTGTGCTATAATGAGGGTGGCTAACACTCAGTGAATCCTGTGTATCCACTGGGGTTCTGAGCAATTTGTATGCATTATCTCATTAAACTCCTCCAGATATATATGTGTGTGTGTGTGTGTGTGTGTGTGTATGTGTGTATGTGTGTATATATATGTGTATGTGTATATATACATATATGCCAGGAAACAGACAAGAACATTCCTAAAACACACAGCATTTTTTTTAGCTCAGTGTTAACAATGAAAAATAATTCCACTATTGAGGCACAAGTTGCAAATCAGTAACATATTCCTATTGCTGTAGAAAAGGGGGTTAAGTCAGGTGTGTCATATGAGCACTAGAACTTTTCATGGTGTCACAAGCCAGTTGTCTGTCACAAAGAGTTTCAACTTCAGGATTTGCATTTCCTCAGAGGAAGACGCTGTGGACGTTTGTGGTCATGAACTTTTGAGTGGCAATAGCCCAAACAGGTCTAGTGTCTGTAAGCTCTTAACAGGCAGCATCACTGTGAATTATCATTAAACTTGAATGCCAAATGAGGGTGTCTCACTCCACATCCCAGCATCACAACACAACCTCTATAACTTTCTGTATAACTTTACAACGGAATTGTATTTCAGTGACTATTTTGATACTGGATTAAACTTTGCAAAGAGTTACACAACATTAGGGTCTATTTTTCCTATCAGTAAGAATTGTGCTGAATTTCAAAACCCATCACCACAGTGTTCAGCTTTAAGAAAATTAAACACACAGTAATCTTGCCAATGTCAATCAAAACCAAAACTTCAGAATGCCGTGGTGTTTATGCAGCCAATCTGGGTTTTAGATACCAATGCCAGCTGTTTATCCCATGAACCATTCTTGCTAGGCTGAGGCTGTGAAAAATCACAAGATGATGTACAATTCTTTTTTTTTTTAATCTCACAAAGGGATGTTGTGGATGGTACAGGGTGACACTGAACAGATCACGAGGCATGGCAGACATAGTTCTCTCCCTCCCCAGCATCTCCCGTGTCTCCCTGGTTTCCCGATGTCCACAGAGTGAGACTGTCTCGAAGTCACTGCATGATGGGAGTACTGTCTTTATAAGACACTTCACTCAGTGTATCCAACTCAGGAATTGCTTCATCAAATGCCGTGTTTACCAGGCTGCAGGCCTTTTCAGGAGAGTTTAGAATCCCATAGCAAAAGGCTGAGAAATTAAGTGCCAGGCCTAGTCGAATTGGGTGTGTAGGCTGCATATCTTTCTTACTAATTTCAGATGCTTCCTGGTAAGCTGCTGGGAGTTTATCGGGAGAACCCGCTCCCGATGTTTAACATGGGTTTTTTTCTATTTCCTAAGTGTCTCGGCTCGGTTGAGAAATAAAGGAAAAGAGCACAAGAGAGAGAAATTTAAAGCTGGGTGTCCGGGGGAGACATCACAGGTCGGCAGGATCCGTGATGTTCCCTGAGCCGTAAAACCAGCAAGTTTTTATTAGTGATTTTCAAAAGGGGAGGGAGTGCACGAATAGAGTGTGGGTCACAGAGATCACATACTTCACAAGGTAATAAAATATCACAAAGCAAATGGAGGCAGGGCGAGATCACAGGACCACCGGATGAGGAAAAATTAAAATTGCTAATGAAGTTTTGGGCACGCATTGTCATTGATAACATCTTATCAGGAAACAGCGTTTGAGAGCAGGTAACCTGTATGACCACAGTTTATTAGGTGGGAATTTTCCCATCCTAGTAAGCCTGGGAGCACTATAGGAGACCAGGGCTTGTTTCATCCCATCGGCTTCGACCATAAAAGACGGGATGCCTTAAAAAGGGGCCGTCTATAGGCCTACTTTCAGGGCGCATTCTCTTTCTCAGGGATGTTCCTTGCTGAGAGAAAGAATGCAGTGGTATTTCTCCTATTTGCTTATGAAAGAGGAGGAATATAGCTCTGTTCCGGCCGACTCACCGGCGGCCAGTTCAAAGTTACCTCTCTTGTTCCCTGAACATCGCTGTTATCCTGTTCTTTTTTAAAGATACCCAGATTTCATATTCAAACACACATGCTGTACAAACAATTTGTGCAGTTGACACAATCACAGGGTCCTGAGGCAACATTCATCCTCCTCAGCTTACAAAGAAGATGACAGGATTAAGAGATTAAAGTAAAGAAGGGCATAGGAAATCGCAAGGATATTCACTGGGGAAGTGATAAGTGTCCATGAAATCTTCATAATTTATGTTCAGAGATTACAGTAAAGACAGATGTAAGAAATTATAAAAGTATTAATTTGGGGAACTAATAAATGTCCATGAAATCTTCACAATTTATGTTCTTCTGCCGTGGCTTCGGCTGGTCCCTCCGTTTGGGGTCCCTGACTTCCCACAACAGGAGTTCAACAGAGTAGTTTGTTTATTGTCTCCAGACGACACCCAGAAAGATACCTGAAATGATCTCCTTTCATTTCCAAGCAGAACAGCTTGCTTTCAGGTTGCGTAGCGTGGGGAATGAGAGACCTGCCCAACCGCTCTGGAACCTCATTGCCGATGTCCAGCAGCTCTGCCTCTGTCTTCCACAGTACTCTTTGCCCATCTGCTGCTTCTCATTCCTCCCTGTTCCCTGCTCAGTGCTGGAGATGAGAATCCAGGAAGAACGGCGGGCACCCGCCATGTTCCTGTAGGCGGCAGAGGGCAGATTGCTGTCTTCAGTTGGGGGTGCATGCCCCTGTGGCATGGCTGCCTTCCCAGCTGCAGCCACATCATCACCGCACTCAGCCTGCTCAGCGGTCTTGGCTTTCTGTACCAGAACACTTTTTGTCACTTCCAAGCACAGCTCTAAGCATGGTGACCACCACCTTCCCAAACTGACTCCTTAGGCCGCTGCAGTGGTGGTGGCAGTGGTAGCTACCCCAGCTCCAAAATCAGCGGCAGCTGCTCCACTTCCCCAAAACAGCCTCTCTTTGATGAGCTACTATCATGTCCTGCCTGGATCACAACACCTGTAAAAAAACTAAATAAAAATGAGCAGAAATAAATGAGCCCCAAGTTGCCAACTCTCTGGAAAATTCTGAAGACTGCCAGCAGGTGTAATTTCCAGGTGTGAGAAAAATAGAGGTGTCTGAAAAAGGACAGGGTGCAGCAATGAGGATGGTGAACTCAAAGGGAGCCAAGGTTTGCCAGAGCGGCCGGTAGCCATGGCAGGGCGAGAGTGTGGATGGTTCCTGTGTTCCTCTGAGTCCCTGTCTCACCAATAGACCACACAGGATGGTCTACCTCCAAATTTTAATCTCGAGCTGACCAGAGTGGCATTCGGATATCAGAGCATCGATGGTGGGCTGTTTTCTGCAAGCCCCACTCACCCCTGCATCCAACAAGCCCCATGGCTCTGGGCTGATGGTCATTCCTGAGAGTGATCCCAGCTTACTACAGGGAAGGGGTCCACACTCCATCTGTCCTGGAATAGCTGCCATCTCTTGGGCAGCCCAGGCTGGGAACACCCCACCAGAGTGGGCATGTCTGACTGTATCATAGTTTGTCATAGTAGGAATAATTGAACTAGCTTTCCTTGGGCCTTTTTGGATTTTCAGAAAGGTTAGGACATTCCAAGTTTTTATTTCCTCCTTTCCCATTTCTTGCATCTGAAATTCAATTCTCCACCCCATGCAGTGTGAATCGTATAATGCAAGGCAATAGCCCCATCTAGTGTACTCGTCTCCAACTTCCGCAAAATGACTCTGTGGCCAGTCCTCCCGGACAAGGAGAGGTGCCAGATGTGTGCTTTTATCCCCCTGTCAATCAGACATAAGAAATGTGAGGGGAGACGGGAGGATCGCTTGAGCCAGGGAGGTCAAGGCTGCAGTGAGCCATGATTATGCCACTGCACTCCAGCCTGGACGACAGAGCGAGACCTTGCCTGGAAAAAAAAGAAAAGAAAGAAGAGAAGCATGAGGACCTAATTAATTTTTCAGTGTTAGAATAAATTACATTTATTTTCTGATAAAATTGCACATAACCCTTGACCTATACATGCCCCATGTACCCTTTGTTTCCACAGTTAGCCCAAGCGGTGGTGGACCGTGCCTGTTCGGTCCTGAGGCACATCAGGCATTCCCCCAGAGCCCCCAGTTCCAGGAGGTGGGTCACAGGGGCCATGCGCAAGGTCTGAGCTCTGAGAGAGAAAATCTCCCTGGGGAAGATCATGATTGACCCCAAATCAATATCGCGCTCAGCTCAGAATACATTTGAGAGTTCAAGGAGGCACTTTGGGCTAAAGTGAAAGATCTACACTAGAGCCAGATCAAGTCGAAGAGGGATTTTTGTGTCAAGATCCAAGCATGCCTCACTGGGCCTGGCGATACTGCTCTGAAGTTATGTTCACTTTCTTATCTCCATGTGCTGGCTTTACTTCTCTTTCTTTGTCTCTTGGCTGGCAGAATTTCTGTGCTTCCTGGGCCACAAAGGAGAGCTGGCTTTCCACAGCTCCTGGGTTCCCCAGGGCTCTGTTCTAGGACGTGAACCCAGGGGCACGAGCAGGGAGATAATAGCAAAGGCACGATGTTAGGTACCCAGAGCACTGCGGAACTCAGCAGAGTGCTAGTCCAGTCTGTTTTCTCTCTCCTTTCACCCCTTAGAGACTCCCACTCCTGGGAACATCACACACCAGGGCCTGTCAGGGGGTAGGAAAAAGGGGGAAAGAGAACATTAAGACGAATACCTAATGCCTGTGGGGCTAAAACCTAGATGATGGGTTGACAGGTACAGCAAACCACCATGGCACATGTATACCTATATAACAAACCTGCATGTTCAGCACATGTATCCCAGAACTTAAAGGAAAAAAAAGAAAAAATAAAATAAAAAAGACCAGCTCCTGCCATAAAGAGTTCCTGCAGTCCACAGGCGTGTAAAGTCGGTGCTTCCTCGGTCCTCTGAGTTTTCCTTTCCTCAATACCGACTTCATTTATTCCTAAGGCCACTGGGCTTCCCCATCAGAGGGGAAGGTGACCACTCTGATGCCAGATCCAACGCCTCCAAACTCTTGAACCCCCGCAGAAAGGAAAGATGGCCAGAAGGCAAGTGGAAAGCAGGCTTCTTTGGATGCTCTTCAGTTTTACAGAAATCTTTTTGTTTTTTCTTTTTTTTCTTTTTCTTTTCTTTTCTTTTTTTTTTTTTTTTTTTGAGATGGAGTCTCCCTCTGTCGCCCAGGCTGGAGTGCAGTGGCTTTGATCTCAGCTCAGTGCAAGCTCCGCCTCCCAGGTTCACACCATTCTTCTGCCTCAGACTCCTGAGTAGCTGGGACTACAGGTGCCCACCACCACGCCTCGCTAATTTTTTGTATTTTTAGTAGAGACAGGGTTTCACCATGTTAGCCAGAGTGGTCTCCATCTCCTGACCTCATGATCCCCCTGCCTCTGGCCTCCCAAAGTGCTGGGATCACAGGCATGAGACACTGCGCCCAGCCCAGAAATCTTATTTTTAAATAATATTTCACATTAATCTGAAAGCATAGACTTATAAAGCATCAGGAGAATCATAAAATTTTTCTTACTTTGAAAACTAAAAACAGACAACATACAAAACTGGCCAATCAGAGGAGGCTTAAAGAAACTAAATACATCCTGGTTACAGACAAAAAGAATCCCCAAAGTATCTCTCTCTTTCCGGTCTGAGGGGAAGGAAAATGAGCCCCTACAGGTGAGAAAGAGAAGGATGCATTCCCTACTATCTTTCTGCTTTCCTTTCTTTATAACCTAAGCAATACTGTGGTGGTGATTCAGTGGTTGCAGCTGGGCTAAGAGCAACAGCTACCAACAGGAAGCACCTTCAACTCTGAAGGAAGGAAACTCTTCTCTCTAACCCGAGAATCTATGGTTCCGGGAGTTCGGAGTGAATCTTCACTGCTCGCTTTCTCTGTGTGCTTGTGCCACATGGCTCTTAACCAACAATAGAACTACAGCCCATTGGAGGAATTTGCGTATTGAATCTGACCTAGCTGATTGCCGTTTAAAACAACAGCAAAGCACATTGTCCTGATGTTTTAAACAAAACCCAGAGTCTCATAAGATGATATCCAAAATATCCAAGATATACTCCAAAATGATTCAGCAAATAACGAACAAGGAAAATCTCAGCCTGCAAATGAAAAGACAGTTATGCTTCAGAACTAAAAATACAAACACTGAAATTAAAAATTCACAAGATGACCTCAACAGCAGAATAGAAATGACAAAGGAAAAAGTCCACGAACATAAAGATAGATCAATAAGAAGTATTCAATATAAACAATAGAGAAGAAAAACAATTGAAGAAAAATGAGCATAGCCTTAAGGATCTGTGTAACAATACAAAAAAGCCTAACATTTGTGTCACTGAAGTTCTACAGAGAGAAGCATAAGAACAGAGTAAAAAATATATGAAGCCATGCATCTCTTAATGACAGTACTACATTCTGAGACATGTGTCATTACGCAATTTCATCACTGTGTGAACCACAGAGTGCACTTCCGCAAACCTAGATGATAAAGCCTACTACACACCTATGCTACATGGTATATCCTGTAGCTCTGAGGCCACATGCCTGTATAGCATGTTACTATACAGAATACTGCCGGCAATTGTATTACAATGGTAAGTGCTTGTATATCCAAACAGAGAAAAGGTGTAGTAAAAATATGGTAGAAAAGACAAAAAATGGTACACCTACATAGGGCACTTACCATGAATGGAGCTTGCAGGACTGGAAGTTGCTCTGGGTGAGCCAGTGTGTGAGTGGTGAGTAAATATGAAGGCCTAGGACATTAATGTACACTACTGCTGACTTTATAAACACAGTACCCTTGGACTACACTAAATTTATTTTATTTTATTTTTTTATTCAGGCTGGGTTAAAAAAATTGACAAAACCATTAATGGAGGTCCCCAAGTACTGGGAAAGTGTTTCAGGAAGTGCAAGCATATGATAGTTAAAAGATATGGCAGTGTGGACAGAAAGATGGGTTAAGTGCCTAAGATTTTTATGATAAAGTGTAAGAAGTTGCAAGATATGACCAGTGATTTCATGACTTGCACCTTGATGTTATACCTTGCAGTGGAGTGGAGAGAAAAGTTATTGGGTTAAAAAAAGTCGAGGAACCATGAGTCACTTTCCAAGAATTATCAGACTGCCCATGGGGAGCAGTGATTAGAAGCCGGCAACTACAGGAAGGGAAAGGACTATGATGGACATCGGTAGAGTCATGTTGCGTGGTGGCAGGAGTCTCAAAGTCAAAGGCGTGTAACAAGGGAGAAGCGAGTGGAAGTGGGGAACACAGATCAGAAGGGCACTGACACCACCAATAAGCTCGAAAGGAGAAAGGAAAAGGACAGTCTTCCCCTAATTCCACATGTGACCCAGGTGCCACATATACATTACCATGTAGGGAAAAATCAACGGCTATGCACACCTTCTTCTTTAACTGTATAATAAAACAATACGTTTTCTTTTCTTTTCTTTTTGTCTTTTTTTTTAGACAGACTCTCGCTCTGTCACCCAGGCTAGAGTGCAGTGGGATGATCTGGGCTCACTGCAACCTCCGCCTCCCAGGTTCAAGACAGTCTTCTGCTTCAGCTTCCCAAGTATCTGGGACTATAGGCACATGCCACCATGCCTGGATAATTTTTGTACTTTTAGTAGAGACGGGGTTTCACCATATTGGCCAGGCTGGTCTCGAACTCCTAACCTGGAGATCTGCCCACCTGGGCCTCCCAAAGTGCTGGGATTACAGGTGTGAGCATTTCACCAGCGAATTGTATGAAACATTTAAGGAAGAAAAGATAACAATTATTTACAATCGCTACCAGAAAACAGAAGCAAAAGGAAAATATCCCAATTCATTCTATGAAGTTCTTATACTAAAAGCAGAAAAAGACATTTAAAGAAAAACAAATGTTCAGACAAATATCTCTCATCAAAAATTCTCAACAAAATATTAGCATGCTAAATCTAACAATACATTGTTGAATTACACACCAAGAGCAAGTGAGATTTATTCCAGGTATGCAAGCCTGCCTTAACACAAAATAGTTAAGGCAATCTATCACATAACTAGCTAAAGAAGAAAAGTTATTTGACTGTATTAATAGATCAAGAAAGCATTTTATAGAATCCAAAGCCCATTCATGGTTAAAACTCTCAGCAAATTAGAAATAGAAGGGAAATTCCTCAACTGATAAAGAACATATACCAAAAGAACACCCCACAGACAATATCATACATAATGTGAAAAATGGGATGTTTTACACAAAAGATAAGAAGCAAGGAAAGGTTATCCTCTCTCACTGCTCCTATTCAACATCATACTAAAATCCTAGCTAATGCAACAAGACAAGAAAATAAAATAAAAAGCATACAGATTGGAAAGGGAGCATTAAAATGCCCTTTACTCGCTGATAAATTGATTTTCTATGTAGAAAATCTCAAAAGTATCAGCCAAAAACCCTTCTGGATTATAGCAAGGTTGCACAGTATAAGGTTAATATACAAAATCAATTGCTGTCCTACATCCAGCAATGAACAACAAGAATTTGAAATTAAAAGCCCAATATCATTTTCATTAACATCAAGAAAATGAAACAGACACAATCTAGCAAAATATGGGCAGGCTCTATGTGAGGAAAACTATAAAATCTGTTGAAAGGAATTAAAGATCTAAATAAATGAAGAGATATTGTGTTCACAAAATAAGACTCAGTGTTGTTAAGATGTCAGTTCTCTTCAATGTGATTTATAAATTCAATACAACTCTGGTGAAAACATGAACAAATTATTGTGTGGAAATTGACAAACCAATTCTAAAGTTTATATAGAAAGACAAACTAACCAGAATAGCCAACAATATTGTAGGGGAGGAACAAAGTTCAAGGACTTGCAAAGTGATCAATGGAACAGAATAGAGAAATAAGAGCCCACAAACACAGTCAATTGATCTTTTACAAAAAGTTAAAGGCAGTTCAAAGGAGAAAGGGTAGCTTTTTCAAAACCAGTGATGAATCCATTGCATGTATGTATATATACGTATATGCAAAAAAAAAAAAAGAATTGAGACACAGACCTTGCTCCTCAAAAATTAACTCAGAGGACACATGTTTAAGTTAATAATATTTGAAATTGTCAAACCATAATCACATACATTTATGGGGTACAGTGTGATGCTTGGATATGTGTATAAAACAAGGAATGACTACATCGAGGATAAAATATCCATCACCTCAATTTTATTTTCTGTGGTTAGACATTTGAAATTTACTTTTTGTTATTTTGAAATATACAGTACATTATTATTGACTATAGTCATACTGCTGTGCAATAGATTTCAAAATGAATTTCTCCTGCTTAACTGAATCTTTGCACGTGTGAACAACTTCCCATTTTCTCTCCAGCAACACAGCATCTGGTAATCATCATTCTACTCCTACTTTTATGAGTTCAATTTGTAGACCTAAATTTAAATCCAAAAGCTGTAAAACTTCTGTAAAATAACAAAAGGATTAGATATTTAGGTAACTTTGGGTTTGGCAATTACTTTGTAGATACATCACTACAGTACATAAAAGACAAATTTCTACCATGAAAGAAGATATTGGAAAAGAAAGAAAGAAAGAAGATATTGATATGACTTCGTGCTCTGGGAAAGAAAATATTAAGAGAATGGAGAAACAAGCCACAGACAGGGAGAAAATATTTGCCAAACACCTGTCTGGCATCCAGACCATTAAAAACCACTTACAACTCAACAATAAGAAATCAAACAACCCAATTAGTAAATGGACAAAAGATCTAAAAAGGCTCCCATCAGAGATGGCATATACAAAGGGAAAAGCTTATGAAAAGATGTTCGCCTTCCCAGGGCGTTTCCCTCCCTGCGTCCGTTTCTCCCCTACACACCCTCCGCTGCAGCGAGAGTGGGAGCGGGTCAGGGTCGCTGAGCTGTGACGATGACGTGCTGTCACTCTGGCGAGGCGTGAGATTTAAGCGCATTACAAGCCGTGGGTCCCGGGGAATCCCGAGAGGCTGCGCTTGGAGCCCAGACTGATCTGCCTCTCTCATGGTCCCGGCCCGCTGCCCTGCAGAGCCCGCCTTACTCTTCCTCTCTCCAGGCCTGCTAGCCGCGGCAGGCCTTGGCTCCCCTGAGCCTGGTGGGCCCACAAGGAGCTGCGTCCAGGAGGAGCCGCTGCCAGGGAACAAGCTGCCCGCGGGCCCTGGGGAGAATCGCCCCTCCGATGAGCTCGGCTGAGCGTGCACGCAGTGTCGAAATCAAGGACGCCTGGATGCTTTTCGTGGCAGAGTGACAAAGGTTTAACAACAAGAAGAGGAGCAGGGGCCAAGACAAGACCCTGAAGTTCTGCCTGCCAGGACCCCCGGGTCCCAGCATCCCACCTGAGGCGCTGCTGCAGGAATTCCAGCTGCTGCTGAAAGGTGCGGTGCCGCAGGGCCAGCGTGCGGGACCCTGAGCCCAGGATGCCAGTCCTCGCGGGGCCGATCGCTGCGAGCCTTGCTCAAGTCCAGCCGCCTCCAGGGAGGACTAATGTCCACGAGACGCGGGGGGTGAGGGCGGTGCTGGCCGCACCCCTGGTCCTGGGGCCGCAGGAGCCGTGCGAGGAGGCCGCCTTCCACTGCTGCCTGCGCCGGGACGGGTTGCTGCAGGGGTGCAGCTGCAGGAGCTCCGCGCCTGCTGCTTCTCCGACGCCAGGGCGCCACCAGGATGGCAGGTGCAGGAGGCTGCGGCTGTGGGCAGATGCGGCTTCCAGCCCCAGGTCCCGGCGGCCCCTGGCTTCCCAGCCCGCTGTCCTGTGGGCAAGAAGATGAAGAAAGCCACCCCATCAGCAGGCCCCGCCTGGCAGCACAGCCGGACAAGGCAACCCGAAGTTCATCCTCTCTGAGGTGACTTCATGCGGGCAGCGGACCCGCGCCCAGGATGCTGGGGAGCCCTGTGCGCCGGAGGCCGGCCCCTGGGGCCCAGAGGCGTCACAGGGCGAGAAGGCACCCGCCTCCCAGCGATTTCACCCTCCGGCCCGCCCGGCCCGCGAGGTGTCCCAGAGGCTGCGGACAAGCCAGGCATTCTGCTCGGCGGCGGCTGCACAGGGGCGAGAACTGAGAACCCCCGATCAACCCCAATCGGGGTAACTGCCAAGTGCCCATGCCAGAGACCCCGATCTCCCTCCTGTGGAGGAGTGGGGCGGGAGGCATGGCCGGGGGCCTCAGGCTGGGTGCGCTGGCGATCCCGAGGCAGACCAGGTCATGCACCTCCAGCCCGCCTGGAAGCTACAGCCGGCTTCTGTGTGCAGGCAGCAGCTTCCAGGCAATCCCCGAGCCCGCCCGCACTCCCCGTATCTCAGAACCGGGGCCAGACGTCCCAGTGGCTGCGGCCAAGCCAGGCGGTCTGCCCTGCGGCGGCAGCACAGGGGCGGGAACCGGCCCTCAGCCCCATCCCCGGTGGCTGCAGAGGGCCCCCGGCTAGAGGTCCCGAGCTCCGGCAGAGCAGGAGCCGGCGGGGGCAGGGCCTGGCGGGCTCTCAGGCCAGGTGCACTCGCGATCCAGAGGCCGCCCAGGCCATGCTCCACCACCTGGGCGCCCAAGCTGCAGGCGCCCTCTACCTGCTGGCAACAGCTGCCTGGCAACTCCCAAGCTGGTTGGCGCTCCCAGCCTCGCAGAACCGGGGCTAGATGTCGCCTTGTCTGCTGCCAAGTCAGGCGGTTTGCCCGGCGGCCGCTGCACCAGGGCGGGAATCGGATCCCAGCCCCATCCCTGGTGGCTGCGGAGGGCTCCTGTCAGCAGCCCGGATCTCTCTTCGGAGGAGGAGCGGGACAGGAGTTACCGCCACGCGGACCCTCAGGCCCGACGGGCTTCGCGCCTGCGATTCCGGGACGTCCAGCGCGAGCCTAGGAGAACCCGCAAGCCAGCGGCGCCTGCGCTCAAGCTGCAGCCGCCCCCTTCCGGTCACGCGGACTTGGGAGAGGCTTCCGGAGTCCCGGCGGGCGCTGAGCTGCAGGCGCGCGCGTAACGCTTGGCGGGACTCACTCGGTCTGAGAGGTCTGAACGCTGAGCTGCAGGCACGCACCTAACGGCTTCGTGGGGCTCACTCGGTCTGAGAGGTGGGAGCGCTGAGCGGCAGGCGCCCGCCTAACGGCTTCGCGGGGCTCGCTCGGTGTGAGAGGTCGGAGCGCTGAGCTGCAGGCACGCGCCTAACGGCTTCGCGGGGCTCACGCGGTCTGAGAGGTCGGAGCGCGGAGCTTCAGGCACGCGCCTAACCGCTTCGCGGGGCTCACTCGGTCTGAGAGGTCGGAGGCTGCGAGTGTCGCTGCTGAAGGCTGTGGTGGACCGGGCTGGATCGCGGATTCTGAGCTACATCGCGGGTTTGGGGGTGGATCGCGGGTTTGGGGGTGGATCTTGGATTTGCGGGTGGATCGCAGGTTGGTGGGGGGATCGCGGATTTGGGACTGGGTGGGGGTGGAAAGGCCACGAGGGGCCGCGGCGGCTCAGGAGCGGGTTGTGGGCGTCTGAGAAGTCGCCACCATGAGGAAGCTCTTCAGCTTCGGGAGAGGCCTGGGCCAGGCGCTCCTGAGCTCCAGGGACAAAGAGTACGCGGGTCCCGGGTACCACACCCTGGACTGGGAACTGCGGAAGATCCACAGGGCGGCCATCAAGGGCGACGCCGCGGAGGTGGAGCGCTGCCTGAGGCGGTTTCGGGACGTGGACGCCCGCGACAGAAAGGACAGGTAGCGGGGGCTCAGCCCGCGGTGGGAGGGGGGCCCCAGGCCTGGTTTCACCGCAGCCCCTGAGGCGGGGGCCTTGGAGGGCGCCGGCACCCTCGGAGCCGAGGAGCCAAACGGAGCCTCAGCTGCTTTCCATCGCTGGCAATTCCCGCCTGTAGTGCTTGGTGGAGAATTTGAGTGATTTAACTCACGAAGTTAAGCATATACACGTTTAAAACGTGGGGTCATATACATGATAGGGAGATGCCTAATGAGAACTCATTCGCATGTCAGAAATACCAGGAGCCATTTTCAGTAGGCGAAGAGTTCTCAGATAAAACCCTGTGTCGGTTTCACATCCGAATCCACCTAGGTAGATAGGTTCTTTATTGCGGCTTCTTAGAGGGACACTTGGAAGTGGGACGTGGGTTCCTTGAATGGGAAGACTCAGTTTTCTCAAAATGTGAGCTCTTTCTATGTTTATCAGTTTTACATAAACCGAATGAAAATATCGAGGTTTTATGATTTGTGCATGACACTTGCTGTCTGTCTTACTATTGTGATGACTTTTAAAAATGTTTATAATGGAGTGAAAAGACTTGCTCCTCTAGATACCAAAATGTGCTATTAATTCCCACAATTAATTATTTACTAACAGCTGTAAACACAAATAAATGGAACAGAATAGGAAATCCAAAAACTGAAATATATGCAAGATACATGCATAGGGATTGATAATGGTAACCTTTCAGATGAGTAGGAAAGGATGAGTTATTAATAATATGCCTGCTGTGTGAAGAAAACTAATGAAACTTTATGTCACAAAAATGAGTTCCTGATGGAATTTAGACTGAGATTTTTACATACGCAAAATGAGAAAAGTACCAAAACAAAACACAAAGACTTATTTATACAGGTACATTTTATGTTAACAAAGGCCTTCCTAAGAATGACCTCGCGAGCAGGCATTCTGAAAGTTGATTTAGCAAACTAAAAATTAAAATCCCCTGTGTATCAGAAAAAAATTAACAAAAGATAACACACTTGAAAAAATTTACTGTATATATTTTTACTAATATATAAAAATATATATTCAACTGAAAAGTGTATCTTCATCCTACAGGGAATTTATTCTTTATAATATGATATTTAATGATTATATATAAAACATTTACTGATTATATATATAACAAATTGTATATATTACTAATATAATATGTTATATATATAGATCAGTTATATATATACAGATAAAAAAACACATCTTTATTTTACAGGGAATTCTTTCCAATCAAATCCACAAGAAAAGAACTCTAAAAGTGAGCAAAGTACCTTTTTGCAGATCCACAAGTTACTTATGTACATAGGAAAAAATCCTTAGTGTTTCTCATAAGAGAATTTAAGTTGAAAGAGGAATGCGACTGTTTTCTATCCACAATGTTTGTGAGAATAAAGAGCAGTGGTACTTATACTGCTGCTTGAAGTTTAAGTTGCTGATGACTTTTCAAGTGGTAATTTGGAGATAATTACCACATTTTAAAAATGTATATGCCCTTTACCCATCAATTCCATTGCATTAAAATACCTTTAGAAAATAGAGATACATGCACTTTGTTTTTCTCAGCATTTATATTAAGAACCGATAGAATGGATATGTGGCCATTGAAGGTGGCAGTAGGTCGAGAAGTATGTTGATGTGTGAAGATGTATTTTGTTATAGCCAGTGAGGAAAAAAAAATCAGTTTGCTTGCACATACACACAAACATACTATGGTCTTGTGTTAGCCAAAATTATGTACAAAATAGGATAAAATTTGTAACTTCTGAGCATTTGTATTTTAAAGTCTTTTGTTCCTTTTTCTTACCTTTGATTTCTGAAGTGAGCATTTATGAAACTTCTAGTAAAAATTTATTATTAATGGAATAATATTTGGGAAGAGAGAAATATGAATCTTGTATAGATAAAAATAATTTCTCACTATTTTATATTATTATTGAGAGTTATCTTGTTTGAACTTTTAGCTTCAGAAATAAAAAGGGAATCTTTTTATCTGTGCTTGCAGATTTTATTATGTATATATTTTTTATGTATATTTTTATATATGTTTTTCTTATGTATAGATTCATTACATATGTGCATATGCAAACAATGATAGATTAATCATTTCATTATAGTTGTAGTCTTATAAAAATAACAAACAGCAAATATTATTACTATCACGAAAATATTGGTTTATAGAAGTTGTATTTAAAAATACTGGGATCCCCAGCTGTATTCTGTCAATCCATTTATTCATCAAACGTAACCTGAAAACCTGTTATGTAGCAGACATTTTGCACTATCTCTCAGGACCCTTCCATACTTAAAACCTTTATGTTTACCTGTTCTACCTGAGCAAGATGAGAGATTTAAAATGGGAATAGTAGGACTTAATCTCACTGAAGCTTTTCCTCCCACCTTTCAAGCAAAAGCATTTCTGAAGGTAGAAAACAGTAAGAGATAACCTTTAACTGCCCTTTTGAAAATTTATCAGTCTTAAATTCTATTATTAATAATTGGAAAGTCTGATTTGCATATATTCTGTAAATCTAAGTGTTGACTAAAATGAGCCATACCTGTTCATCTCAATCATTAGTTTTCTTTAGCTTCATGTTTTTAAAAATCAAAGTAAGAAGTAATTTGTTTAAAAAATATGTTGTTACTTCAGTGATCGTTCCCCATGGTACTTTTAGGAATTAAAATGTATTTAAGTGTCAATTAGATGCCTAGAACTGCCCTAGACCTGCTGTGTATACCGTATTCTACTTAATGTAAGGCCTCATGGATTGTGTAATACCCTACTATTTTCTATATTAATAAGATGATTTTTTAAATGCTACCAATTATAAAAAATTATGAATTATAAATGCCATTCCAATATCAGATATGCTAAAATGTGACCTAACCTTTAAATCATCCTGCAAAATAGCAATAATTATATCATTTTACTTAATTAAAATGTTTTTGTTAAGTAGTAGTAATAGTAATAATTATAACATCTGGCTGGGTGCGTGGCTCACACCTGTCATTCCAGAACTTTGAAAGCCTGAGGTGGGAAGTTCCCATGATGCCAGGAGTTTGAGACCAGACTGGGCAACAAAGTGACATTCCTACTCTACACAAAATTTTTAAAAATTTGCTGATTATGCTGGTGCGCTCCTGTGGTCCCAGCTACTCAGGAGGCTAGGGCAGGAGGATTGCTTGAGCCTACGAATTTCAGGCTGCAGTGAGGCATAAATACACCATTGCACTCCAGCCTGGACAACAGGGCAAGACCCTGTCTCAACAAACAAAAATCTAACAGTTATTGAGTTGTTGCTTGTTCTGGAAATGGTTCTAAATGCTTTACATAGATTTTCATTTAAGCATCATAATGGTGTCCTGTGAGCTAGCTACTGTTGTCATCTTTATTTTATTAATGTGGAAATTGAGGCACAGAAAGGTTAAGCAATAGCTGGTATGTGACCGAGTTCAAAGTAGAACTCAAGCCCTAGTTGAACTGAATCCAAGCACCAAGCTCATTCTATCCAAATAGGCTGCTGTTTCATTAAGGTAGGGAGCAGTAAGAGCTAATAAATATTGTACTTTCTTCAAAAGAAAATTATTTGTTTTGAAGGCAGAGGAATAACTGCCATTCATTGTTTACAATTACATGAACCATTGTAGGTTTTGAGATATTGCACTACAATTTCCTGAAATCTCCTCTTACTCTCCTAGGACTGTTCTACATTTGGCCTGTGCCCATGGCCGTGTGGAAGTGGTCACTCTCTTGCTGAGCAGAAGTTGCCAGATCGACATCTGTGACAGACTAAACAGGACACCGTTAATGAAGGTATATAGTAGCCAACTCTTTCAGCATGAAATGAATTTGATTTAAATACATAGAGTTAAAATTAATTTATCTCATTTAAATATAACTAGTTGGTGAAACCTGTGGAATACGTATTTTGAATTCTTAGAATTTATAGTCTAATTTTTTACCTAACACGAATAGGCTGTACATTGCCAGGAAGAGGCTTGTGCAATTATTCTCCTGGAACATGGCGCCAATCCAAACATTAAGGATATCTACGGCAACACTGCTCTCCATTATGCTGTGTATAATAAGGGGACTTCACTGGCAGAGAAACTGCTTTCCCACCATGCAAATATTGAAGCACTAAATGAGGTATAGATCGATCAACTTTCTTTTCAAAATGTTTGTTTTAACATTGACATAGGTAAGAGTCAGTTTTTCATATTTGGAACTCAAGTGTTTCTGAATAAAAATATTTTGAAATAATTGTCTAAAATTTTATTTTAAATATTGATACTTTTAAAGAAGCATTAGAGGGCACAGCTTTTTTAGTGCACTTATGGGAAATATTTGTGAATTTGTTAAGGTAAAACTTCTTTTCAAATATTTGTTTCCTACCCCAGGTATATATATTTTTTTCTAATTAGTATTTTAAAAATCACAGGAAAAAAATTACCCTGGAAACAGGTTTTATCTTAAAACTGAAAACTAAAGCAACTTACAATAAATGTAAATCTTGCTGCTGCTGACAGTTTTCTAAAAAAAAGGATGTATCTTTCATTGGTAAGGTTTAAGAGGGAAAAATGGGAAGGGAAAAGGGGAGCAATCAAAAACATGCAGGTCACTTGGAAATTAGGTAATGAGGGAAAATGCCAAGAAGAGGTTTTGTTTTTCAGTTTGTTGTTTTCCCAGTTGATGTATTGAGACAAAGTGCTCTTCAGCTTTGGGGTAATCATTTTTGGTTTGGTAAATAGAGTGATTGAAACTTGCCTAAAGATTAATTTTTAGAGGACTCTGAGGAAACCAGATTGGCAGTGAGTAGATGGTGATGAGGTGAGAAACACTTCAGCAAAGGGTGGAACAAATTAGTAACTGACTTATTACCCATCCTGGCAGAAACAGTCACTTAGATAAGAGTCTAAACTCTCAAATCTAGAATATCTTGGTGGGAAGGTGGGAGATAAGGAACTTATAAATAGCAAAATCAACTGGGATTTTGAGTTTACTTGTCCCTGTTATACCCACACCCAGGAAAATTAACTGGAGTTTTAATTAAAAAACTCTATCTCATACTCTTCTCTTTCTGGCCACATCCCAACTGATAAAGGATACTGGCCGTGTGGGTGAGAGATGAAACGGAAGTGATTGTCTGCTGCAGTAATTCTCAGCTAGAATTGTGCATTACAGTGACCTGGGGAAATTTTGTTAAAAATCTACAGGTGTAGGCTTTCCCCTGATGTTTTTGATGTAATAGATCTAATAAGTTCTGAACATGTATGGTTAATAATATTTTCTTGAAGTCATACACAATGACATGTACCTGCAGTCCCAGCTACTTAGGAGGCTGAGGTGGGAGGATTGCTTCAGCCCAGGAGTTTGAGTCCAGCCTGAGAAACATAGTAATTTTTGTTTGTTTGTTTTGAGACAGAGTCTCACCTTGTTGCCCAGGCTGGAGTGCAGTGGCATGATCTCCCCTCAATGCAAGCTCCACCTCCCAGGTTCACACCATTCTCCTGCCTCAGCCTCCCAAGTAGCTGGGACTACAGGTGCCCGCCACCATACCCGGCTAATTTTTTGTATTTTTAGTAGAGTCAGGGTTTTACCATGTTAGCCAGGATGGTCTGGATCTCCTGACCTCGTGATCCGCCTGCCCCTTAGAATTTATAGTCTAATTTTTTTATCTTACACGAATAGGCTGTACATTGCCAGGAAGAGGCTTGTGCAATTATTCTCCTGTAACATGGCGCCAATCCAAAAATCTTGTCTCTTACAACAAGAGCAAAAACAAATACCTCAGCATTCAAATACACTCCTGATGAAGAAGCACAGAATAGATAAGTGCAGTATATAAATTCCCATATCTCAAAGACATAAGAAATCTCTAAAAGAGTTGGCATTTGATAGGTGCTACTTTCTTCAAAGGTCTCCTTTCCAATAACATTAGCCTGACTTATCTGTCTTTCTCTACGTTTGTGACTGGGAAGTGAAAGGAAATATCATTGGCAACAGCTCTCAGCTTACAGAATAACACTCTTTCCTTCCCACCATGAATCATTCACTGCCATTCAGAGAGTCTTCAGCAATTTGCTTGTGGGTAATCTTTCAATAAGTAGAGGCTGACCCTTTCACAATTTCATGTTCCTCTGTCACCATTCTAGTGATTATGTGTCAACAAATGTTCATTACAAGTGAGATTTTCTCAATTAGGTTAGTAGCAAATCCTGAACCTTTTTTTTTTTCAGTTGAAGTTGTGTTAGGGACTATCTCAGTGTGTCTGTTAAGTTTATAGAGCTTTGGCATAATCAGGATGTCAGTTTTAAACACTGAAATCCTTGAAGTCAGTGAGAATACAATAGAAATTCTTTTAATAATTTAGTTTCCGCAGTCCTATGAACTAATTATCTATTTGGTTAACAATCTGGGAAAATGATATACACATAGATTGCAAATGAATAAATGTTGGGAAAATTCTTGAGGTGGGTATTATGAGTCTTAACAGCAATTTTTATTATGTATATTTCAGGGCCTGAGTTTTTTTATTAAACATATGATACTAGAGAAGGAAAAAGTTCCACATGCAAATACTTGGTTTATACACAATTTAGTAACACATTCATAGCAAATATAAAAACACAAGGGTTATAGTCTACATGTGGCACATAGATTTTTTCTTTGCCTCTTTAAATTGAGTCAACATGTAAAATTTAGTAGACTCATGCAGAAATCTGGACCTCAGGCTTAAGAATCAAATCTAGTGTCCCCTGAACTGCATCAGTGCTTAGTCTGCTGTGCAGAGGTTGCCCTGTGTAGGAGGCACATATTCTCCAGTTTGCTACTGTGCCCACCTGAGTACTTCACTTACTTAGGTAACCTCCTTCATCCTTACAAGTATTTGAGTTTACAACTCCTTTTTTATAGTATATTTTCATAAAGATATCAAGTTTTTCAAGACAGCATATATTGGTTCATAATATATAGTCTATCGTTTATATAAATCCCTCAATTATAGAGTTGGATTTTAGAATTCAGAAGTTTAACTCTTTTTTTATATCTATACCACAAATAGTCATCTTCTCATAAGAATGCCTAGAAGCCTTTTTTAGGTTATGCCTGCTGAGAAGTGGATAGATTATGAATATTGCAGACATTATATCTTTCTTCTCAGCAATGTCCCTTAAAAATGCAAGTGACGACTGGGCATGGTGGCTCACACCTGTAATCCCAGCACTTTGGGAGGCCGAGGCAGGCAGATCACGAGGTCAGGAGATCCAGACCATCCTGGCTAACATGGTGAAACCCTGTCTCTACTAAAAATACAAAAAATTAGCTGGCAACTATAGTCCCAGCTACTTGGGAGGCTGAGGCAGGAGAATGGCGTGAACCCAGGAGGCAGAGCTTGCATTGAGGGGAGATCATGCCACCACTGCACTGCAGCCTGGGCAACAGGGTGAGACTCTGTCTCAAAACAAACAACAAAAAAGCAAGTAATTTACTGGCTTTTGTTATGCTAGAAATAAGCCCTATACATCAGTATTAGAACTTTTATTGAGAAGCCATTGTATTTTTATTTCTGATTTATATTTTGCCTAAAGTAAAAAAATAATGTTAAATAGCAATTTAAATGGAAACCAATACAAATGGATTTAAAAAGTAAAGTTGCATTAGCATCCCAGGATTATCATTATAATTGAGAATAAAATTTCTTACTGAGCTTTGCTTTTTAATATTTATTTTCAAAAATTTTTAACTGGTCTGTATTACACAGAACATACTGAACTTTCTAAGTTAAGATAAAAATCTATCCTCTTGTATTAGGAAAAATCCCATGCACTATTTAATAGTAAGGAAAATAAGTGCATTTGAAGCCAATCTCTCTTAATTCAGAGCTCATTTCTTTAGTAGCCCCTTTGCATCAGGAGTGCCTGACACTGACATCCTGACACCATTGATGCAAGTGAATCAAGCAAGTTTGTACCACCCAGAGGAAACCTACACTTGTATTGCAAAGCTCTGACAACTGTGTCCCTGAAACTCTAGTTCCTAAAGTGTTAATGTTTGCCACAAAAAGTATTGTCAAATTGAGATTAGGCAAAGTTCAAGGGATTTCTAGATTTTTGGCCATGTAATACAGTTTTGTAATACTTCTCAAATGCAGATGATCATGGAACCTTTTCGTTGGGGTACAGTTCTTCTGGTAAAACAAATATTCTTTGAAATGCAGTTTAAGAAACACTGCTCTAGAGATAATTTAAATCATTAATTTATTTTAAAAACTTAAAGCATTTGCTACTATGTCTTAGGTTTTAGGGTTATAGAGAAAAAAGATACAGCCCTTGCCCTCAAGAAGCTCTTGGTTTCAGTGGGAAACAATGAAATAATTACAATATACTGTGCTAAATGCTGAGATAGAAGCAAGGATTTTTGGGACTGGTAAATAAAGTGAGTTTTGGAGATGACCGAAGTTAATGTGGGGAGGCAGAGGAGGGGTGTTTGCAAGGCAGTGTGTGGGAAAGCACAGAGGAGTGAAAAGGAAGGGACTGCTTTGCATTTACTTTCTTTCTATATTGTAAGTTTAAGTTCATAGCATCTTATAGAAGATTTTTAGTTCAGTTGAGAAATATGTAATTTTGTGAATTATAAATTGTTTTTGCTTTCTTACAGGAGGGAAACACTCCACTTTTGTTTGCTATAAATTCTAGGAGACAGCAAATGGTGGAATTTTTATTGAAGAACCAGGCAAATATACATGCCGTTGACAATTTCAGAAGGTGCAATAGTTTTTGTGTTTTTTTGTTGTTTTTTGTTTATTTCCTAAAAACCTGAGTGTTCTGGAGTGGTAACTCAAGTGAGAAATGTTAATAAGATTCACTTATAATTATTGACATATAGTAAAAAATAATACAAATAATCAGTTAGGTAGAAAAGCAGTTATTTGGACTGAGCAACATCAAAAACAGTATATAGTAGGATTCATCTTTTCTTATAGACTGTTATTTGTAATCTGATGTTTTTGGTCCTGTAATCATAATAACTAAAGGGGTTTTGTATTTTCTTAATTTTATAAAGCATAGACTTTAACTTTCAGTTTACAACAACTACTATCACTATTATTGTTGTTGTTGCTGTTGTTTTCAGCCTGCAGATAGCTCTTACATGTTTGATCCCTAGCTGACTTTGAATTACAATATATCAGACTAGGAAAGCAATGGGGAAATCTTCATCTAAATCTTTGCCTACTTTAGATAAGTGACCTTAGCACAGTTTCTTCGCCATCAAAGGATTATAAATTAAGAGCTTGTATTATGTCATATCCCAGTGGGACAAGAAGCTTCCTTGTTGTCCCTGCCTTCTAGCCTTGGTGGTAATTTACCAAGATGAACACTTGAGCACCCAAGATGCTTATACACATAAGCTAGTACATGTAAATGGTTATTATGTCTATCCTGAGAGGCAAGATATGAAATCGGTAAAGTGTATCCAATTTGCTAATTAAATATCTTTATTAAAGTTCTTGAGTGCTGTTATTTCTTTGTTATTTTAGAACAGCCCTCATGCTTGCTGTGCAGCATAGCTCATCAAGTATCATCAGCCTCCTCCTTCAGCAAAATATAAATATCTTTTCTCAAGACATGTTTGGCCAAACTGCTGAGGATTATGCTGTTTGTTGTGATTTGAGAAGGTATATGCTTATATTAGGTTAATACTACATTAAGGTTTAAAATAATTACAAATATTGCATCTTATACATTAGGTGAGAGTTCATAGTTTGGTTGAAGTAGTTTGGAATGGCAACAAGTTAGTCCACTTTTTAGCCAGAAATCAAACAGAAAGCTAGACTAGTTAGAAGTAGCAATGAGTGCAAGATTCTTTCAGAATCTTTGAAGACCTTTATCCCTAGGGATCTCAGTGTTGTTCATTTCATTCCAAGTATTACCCTTGTATGTGAGACATAAATAATGTCACATCTTTTACTTTCTTTTTTTCTTTCTTCTTTCTTCTTCTTTTTTTTAAACAAAGTCTCACTATGTTGCCCATGTTCCTGAGCTCAAGTGATTCTCCTGCCTCGGCCTCGCAAAGGCCACCATGGCTGGCCTGACTTTCCAAATTAGTTGTTGGGTCTTGAAATGTCCAGTTTAGCAGAAAATCTTGTATTTATTCCCTGGGGCTATCTCTTATGCCTTCCTGCTTTGGATTTTTCAAAAAGCTAAGGGGTTCCCTAAGTCCAAGGAAGACAATCTTGCTTTACAAGTCAGAAGAAGGGGGGAAAAGGCCGTTCTAGTCATTCTGTTGTTTCCATTGATTCACTTCCTGTATTGCTGCCATTGTAACTGGTCCTGCAATCTGGTAATGATTGACTTTTGCCACCAGTATGCCCTTACCGATTCAGATCCCTCTCTCTTCATGGTGACTCATACACAGTGTCCACAGCTACAGTGTTTTTTAGTTCATGTACATAGATAGGCTCAGCCATTGTTCCCAGCACCCTGCTCTGGCAGAAAGGCCTCCTAGCTTTACCCACACACGTAGTGAGTAAATTGACCTTCTCCCTAATACTAAAAACCTTATTTGTAGCCCACGTCTTAGCTTGGCCTAGCCTATACCTTCATGGTATGTTATCCTTTGAGACCAGTGTCCATCTGTTCTCTAGCAAATATTAGTTGGATTGTACTCAACAGTCAGGGATGTTCAAATAACATTGCAGGAAGAGAGCAGAGGTCCCTTTGCCTTTTGTTGTCACATCTGTACCTTGAGCCTTTTTTCTGTCCCGTGTAGCCTTTTGTTAGATAGCAGAATGTTCCACATTATCCTTCAATAGAGTAATGAGCACCAACTTGGAGTTGGCCCCTCAAGTAATGTGTTTCCATAATAATGAAAACCTGTCAGGCTCTTTGCATCTCCACCTCAAATTTTTAAAATATTTTAAAATTCTACCTCACAGGAAGTCATTCAACAGAATTCTCTGTATCTAAAGTAGGTAATTTAGATTTAACAGAGCTAAGCCTCATCCATGACTTTTGAGTATCCGTGTATAAAACAGGGCTTTATACTTGTTTCAGCAGCACATATTCTAAAATTGGATCATTACAGAACAGATAAGCATGCCTGCTGCCTAAGGATGGCACACAAATTCAGAAAGCATTCCACATGTTGCATGGTCCCCAGAAGGTCATTTGACTATTTGTTAACTAGCTTCAAGGAAATAATGTGAGTCAAACCAAAACAGGAGTCACCCAATATGGAAATTGTTATTATGATCATTATAGAAGTATTCATGTAAGGTGATCTGTGAAATGAGAACAGAGCTGAGTGGCATAAGGGATGTTATATGCAAATATGTTGTTAGTACATGACTTGGAAATGAAGAAACATCAACTTGCATCTCTTTCATGGAACTGAAAAACAATACAAGAAAGGCTTTGTCTTGTGTGTCAGTCGGAGAGGACCCAGAAGATGCAGCCTCTGACACAGACCTGCTGGCTCTGAGTTTGAGGAGGTAGAGAAGGAATGGTAGTTGTCCCAGCCAGGTTTTGACATCTATTAGTTTTCTGCCCTTGGTGTGATTGATGAGCTCAGTAATAGGGGACAATTAGGTTATATGTTTTAATGAGACAATAATATATTTATATATAAATTTAGTTATAAGTTATGAGCTAGCTAAAATGCTCTGAACTATAAGCCACAATGAATAGAACTAATAACCAAAATTAGCACTTAATAATATTCTCTGAAAACTGTGACATTCAAATATTAGAACCTATGAAAAAACACCCATCAGGTTTTATTTGAGATTCCAAAATTGTTCCAGCAATGCAGCTCAAGAATAAATTTTTCCATTGCTTTACTATTTCTCTGAACATTTAAACATTTTACCTCATTACATCCTCCTAACAACCTAGTGAAGTCAAGTAGTAAAATCTTTGTTTTTTAGAAGAAGCCGTGGAGCCTAAGAGAAGCAACTGGTCTGAAAACAAAATACCTATTGGTCACAGAGCGAGGACTTACTCTGAGTGCAGGACGGTTTCCAGGCTGTTAAGCTAATTAGAATTAACTTACTGAGCTATGTTTTTCTCAGTTTATGAGTACTTCCTGTTTTTCTTCTTTAATTAGAAGCTTAATAAGTTTATACAGCTTAAAATTTTAAAGTGTATTGGACATTAGAGTTCTGATATTAGCTCTGATATTGTCTGAAATGCTTTAAGAATTTAATATGTTTGGTAAATATTTTTCATATCACTATTAAAATACTAATTTTATTTATTACATTTATTATGCATAGCATTCAACAACAAATTTTGGAACATAAAAATAAGATACTTAAAAATCATCTTCGAAATGACAATCAAGGTAAGACTTCTGATAGTAAATTTCTCATTTCTCTTGGTGGTCTTACTGATTTTAAAAAGCAAAATTACAGGCCAGGCGTGGTGGCTCAAACATGTAATCCCAGCTCTTTGGGAGGCCAAGGCGGGTGGATCACCTGAGGTCAGGATTTTGAGACCAGCCTGGCTAACATGGTGAAACCCCATCTCTACTAAAAATACGAAAATTAGCTGGGCATGGTGGCGGGCGCCTGTAATCCCAGCTACTTGGGAGGCTGAGGCAGGAGAATCACTTGAACCCAGGAAGTGGAGGTTGCAGTGAGCTGAGATGGCACCACTGCACTCTAGCCTGGATGAAAGAGCGAGACTCTATCTCCGAAAAAAACCAAAAAAAGTAAGATTACGTATTTTTAATCATAAAAGAGCAGTTTAAAATATGTATATTTATGTATAAATTAATTTTTTAAATTTAATTTCTTTAGTTTAGAATTCAGTTATTTAAGAAGTTAGTTCTCAATCTCAAACAGTATTCTCTGAAAAAAATTCGTTTATGATCCCTGAAATTCTACATTATATTTTTGTATTAATATAAATAAGAAATTAGATTTTTAAGTTAACATGTTGCATTTTCCTCTATAATTACATTGTTACAAATTGTACTTGTTATGCAAATGGATCTTCTATTTAACTTTTATAGTAAATGGTTTATATTTAGTAAATAAATGTTAATTACAGTTGATTCTTGAATGTTGTGGGAGTTAGGGACTCTGATCCCTGTGCAGTTGAAAATCTGAGTATAACTTTGACTCCTTCCAAACATAACTACTAATAGCCTACCATTGACTGGAAACTTTACTGATAACATAAACAGTCGATGAACACATAGTTGGTATGTGTTGCATTATTATATACTATGCTTTTAGAATAAAATAAGCTAGAGAAATGAAGCTGTTACAAAGAAAATCATAGAAAAGAAAAAAACATACCTACTATTCATAAACATAAGTGAATCCTCCCAAAGGTCTTCATCTTCATCATCTTCAGGTTAATTAGGCTGAGGAGGAAGAAAATGGTTGGTTTTGCTGTCTCTTGGTTGCAGAAGCAGAAGAAAAATCTGCATATAAGTAGACCCCTGCAGTTCAAACTCTTATTGTTCAGGGTCAAGTGTATTACACAGGAATCTGTGTCACTAAGAAAGTAACTGTCTTTAGAACTGGGAATTCAACAATCCCTTTCTGATACCATAAACAAATGGCAATAAGAACCATAAAACTGAGCCAGTGTGCACCCATACAAATAGGAGATTATTTCTGAAGATACCTACTGAATGCAGAAGACAGAAAAGTAATCCCTTCCCGAGAAGCAGAAATTATGTTACATATTCTTATACAAACAAGGTCTACTTTTAATTTATTCACCATAAGTTGGAACCTCATGAGATATATTCACTTCTTAGAACAAGCTGTGTTTTTTTATATGCTGGATAATTATAATAATAGTAATTTTGTTGGGACAAGATAATCTGTTACCAGGCTGGGCGTGGTGGCTCATGCATGTAATCCCAGCACTTGGGAGGCCAAGGAAGGCAGATCACTTGAGGTCAGGAGTTTGAGACCAGCCTGGCCAACATGGTGAAACCCTATCTCTACTAAAAGTACAAAAAGTAACCAGGCATGGGGGTGGGCACCCATATTCCCAACTACTCGGGACGCTGAGGCAGGAGAATTGTTTGAACCTTGGAGGTGGAGATTGCAGTGAGCTGAGAACGTGCCACTGCACTCCAGCCTGGGTGACTGAGCAAGATTCCATCTCAAAAAACAAAAAAAAAAACTCTGGTAACCATTAGGCAAGAGATGATCATAATAAATATTCCAATAACCAAACTCTAGGCTCAAAAAATTTTTTTAAATTATAATAAAATTATAAAAATGGTTCACAATAACAAAAGTATAACACCTAATGTGTTGTACAGTCTGAACTGTATAAAGACACCGTTAATTTAGTATATATTTATCAAACCACTTCTATAAGTTAGGTTTGGCAAATGCACGAGACAAAGATGGAATTGACGTAGTTTTTGTCTTTAAGGTGCTCATAATAGAATATTAGAATATAGATAACTATTTAATTTTTGTGTTTTTTAACAGACTTTTTAAGAAAAATATTTTAATTCATTCATATACTTGTCCACTTAAAAAATAACTATCATATATCTTTTATAGACTAAGCATTTTTCCAATGTTACAAAATACATTTAAAAAATACAGTTAGGAGATTGTTATTACCACTGTTATTTATTTACCACCTTAAATAGTGCTTACTGTGTGTCCAATGTCACCTGGGAGCTTATAGTTATTATTTATTATATATGTATCATGTTCAGTACGTGCCAAGCACGTTTATGTTTGTGGTAATGAATGCAAGCTTCTAAAATGTGGGTAGGATTTAGGGTAAGTGTGCAGAGTGGGTGGAACTTTGCCAGGTAAGGAGGCAGAGGGATGATGCTTGGCAGAAGGAGTATCTAACAAGCTTGCATGTTTGACAGAAGCAGCAGCCACGAGGAATGAAAGTTTTAAAACACGAGGAGCAAGTTCAAAAGATAGGACACCTGAGTGAACTTTGTAGAGTTTATGAGCAGCTCAAATTTACTAGTGCAAAAAATATATATGGAGAGCTTGGTAATGAGGTGAAAACAGCTCACAGTTATTATTTATTACGTATTTCTCGTGTTCAGTGTGTGTCAGTGAAGGCAGGCTTAGGAGAGACTTTGTTGTTGGTTTACCTGTGTCTAGAAACAAGTCCAGTAAAAGACTTTTAATAGTATAGAGCTGAGTGGATCTTATCCTGTGGGCCAGGGGAAACTTCTGAGGTAGAATGCTTTTGGCTGCAGATACTAGAGGACGTAACAGTGGCCAAACCATAAGAACCAGGCTTGTTTTGGTTGTCCGGTGATATTATTGGATCCCACATGTTCCTCTTTCAGCTATGCTGTTGACAGTGTCTTGTTCATGTCTCCTTTCATGGTTGGCTACTTAGCAACAGCTCCAAACATCATGTTCTCACAAGACAGTATCTAAAGGCTGGAAGGGCTGCTTTTCTTCACATGTGTCTTTTAAATTGGGAGAAAACTCCGAACCTTGCAGGGGACTTTTTGTAATTTTTTTTTTTTGGGGGGGGATGTAGTCTCTCTCTGTCGCCAGTCTGGAGTCCAGTGGCACGATCTCGGCTCACTGCAGCCTCTGCCTCCCAAGGTCAAGCAATTCTCCTGCCTCAGCCTCCCGAGGAGCTGGGACAACAGGCACATGCGACCAAGCCCAGGTAATTTTTCTATGTTTAGTAGAGACGGGGTTTCACCTTGTTGTCCAGGATGGTCTCGGTCTCTTGACCTTGTGATCCGCCTGTCTCGGCCACCCAAAGTGCTGGGGTTACAGGCATGAGCCACCGTGCTCAGCCCTTTTTGTAAAATTTTATTAGCTGGGTCACACCACATACTCATTCCTAAACCAGGCACTGAGAAAGCAAATGTGGTTATGTGATTAGCTTTGAATAATCACTTACCTTTTGAAGCTGGAGAGGAGTATTGAGATAATAAATATCCAAATAGATTTGTGATTCTCCAGCAAGAAACAACAAGGAACTGCTCTTGGGTAGGAGCCAGCAGTGTTTGCTCTAGAAATTCATTGGAAAATTGTGAGCAGGGGAGGCATTAGATTCAATTTGAGAATTAGGGCATTCTGTTCAGGGTATAAAGCAGGGATTGGCAAACCTTTTCTGTAAAGGGCCAAATAGGAAATATTTTAGGCCATGGGGTCTCTCTTTCTCTCTCTCTCTCTCTTTCAAGAACGATTTAAGCAGCTGAAGGCCATGTGATCTCTGTCGTAGCTACTCAACCCTGCCATTGTAGTGTGAAAGCAGTCATAGGCAGCATGTCACTGACTAGGCATGACTGTACTCTCATAAAACTTTACTGAGAAAAAACTTATGGTAGGCAGGATTTGGCGTGTGGTCTGCAGTGTGCTGACCCATTTTGTAGAGGGTAGATGGAGGATAGGTGTCACCTGGGAGCATATAGTTATTATTTACTAGAAATTTATTACGTTCATTAGATGCCATGCAGTTTTAAATTTGTGGTGATGACTGCAAGCTTCTAAAAAAATGGATAGGATTTAGGGGAAGCATACAGAGTGAGTGAAACTTTGCCAGGTAAGGAGGCAGAGGGATGATGTTTTCTAGAAGGAATATCTAACAAGCTTGCATGTTTGGCAGAAACAGCAGCTGTGAAGCCTGCAAATTTGAAAAAAAGGAAAGAAGGTGCAAAAGGTAAGACACTGAGTGTCTCTGCTCTTAACCATGTGAAGAGACGGGGAGACAAGGGAAGCTTCAGCCGTAGTTAATGCTGTAGTTTCCTTGTCACAAATCCATGGAGTCCATGAGTCTATTACAAGGTTTTCACCCATCCATTATAAAATAAAACAGTGGAGCTCCAGTTTATTCATTTGAAAATATTGGTGTTGCCAGGGATGGTGGCTCCTGCCTGTAATCTTGTCAGTGTTGGAGGCTGAGATAGAAGCATCCCTTGAGGCTAGGAGGTCCAGCAGCCTGGGCAACATCGCCAAATCTTGTGTCTATTTTTTAAAAATCTGTAGCTGGGTGTGGTGTTCTGCCCCTGTGATCTCAGTTACTTGGGAGGCTAAAGCAGGAAAATTACTTGAGCCTAGAAGTTTGATCCTGCAGTTAGTTATGATAGCAACCTTACACTGTAGCCTAGGTGGCAGAGTGAGACCCCATCTCTAAGAAAAATCAAGTCAAATAGGATAAGATACAATAAAGTAAAATGTTGGTCTTTTTCTTGGAATTATGCGTTTCTAATTTGTTTTGCTTTTTTTATAAATTTAAGAAACAACAGTAATAGTTGGTTTATATAAGGCTTTCAGAAACTGGCTTCTGCCTAAATCTCCATCTGCAGCCCTTTCTCTGTCTGCCTCTTTTTCTGGCATTACTGAGCTGCTGGTGATGCCCCCGTCACCGTCCCTCTCATGTAGACAAATACGTACACTCTGGGAGGCTTCTCTCCCTCTCTTGCCACTGCCTGGCATGTACTATCTTTCCTGCCCTCTGCCTCTTTTAATCTGGTGAACCTCACTGTCTAAGTCTCAGCCCATGCATGATCTCTAGAAAAACCATCCCTGACAGCTTTTATTCTCATTCTTTAAACCCCAGTGCCTACCACTTAGCAGGAACTCAATTAAACATTTAGTAAAATAAAGACTTTATACAAAGATGATTGCTACAGTCTAGCAACAAAGGGGATAGACGTGCAAAAACATGATGCGCAGTTCAGGTGGTGAAGTGACACTAGAAAAATGGACACTAGAAAAATGGACTAAGGGAGCCCCAAGGACGGAGAGCCTGTGTATGTGGAGAATGATAGCCAGATTCAAGGAGGACTTCACATAGCATTTTGAGCCTTTTTTCCTTTTTTCTTTTTCTGTTTTTGGAAACAAGTTCTTACTGTGTCATCCAGGGTAGAGTGCAGTGGCATGATCGAGACTCACTGCAAACTGAAACTCCTGGGCTTAAGGGATCCTCTTGCCTCAACCTCTTGAGTAGCTGGGACTACAGGCACACACCACCATACCTGGCAAATTTTCTGTAGAGTCAGGATTTCACTATGGTCTCCAGACTGGCCTTAAACTCCTGGCTTTAAGCAGTTATCCCACCTGGACCTTCCAAAGTGATGGGATTACAGGTGTGAGCTACTGTGCCCAGCCTACATTCTGAGTCTTACAACACAAAAATACATTTATCAGAATAGTAGAGGAAAACATTTCAGATGTAAAAAACAGGGTGTACATTATAAAGGTGTAACAGTAACAAAAATTTTGCAAATTATTAGTAAATAACAACTTAGCATGTTGTTTAAAAGATACTATTATGAAGTAGAGAATGGTAAAGTGTTACTTTATATGTTTTCACTGTATTTTTAAATTTTGTTTTGTTTCCAGCAGTTTTGTTTATTTACATTGGGTGGAATAATTTGTGGGTGACCCTGAGACTTTTGCATGTCTTGAACCTGCTGATATCTAGTGTCTCCCCAAGTGGTTTGTTAAAGTTTTAGGTAATTAGAAGTGCTTCTTAAAAATGTAAATATTCCAATAAACATTTAGCTTCATTTAAACTCTCAATTTATAAAATAAAAGTATGTTATTTTGTATCCATTTTAATAAAGATTATAGTCTTTATTCTAAGTCATTCATTTTAACTGAACATATGGATTTGTCAGCAGAACACAACTTAAAAGTGGCTTCAGAGGAAAAGCAAGAAAGGCTTGAAAGAAGTGGAAATAAACAGCCACAGGTATATAGCAATTTAAATTTCTGGTTTACTATTGGTTTGTTTGTTTGTTTTTCTTTAATACCATAGCATAGTCCAAATGAAGTGACCTTATAGGCTATCATTTTAGAATCCAACAGATCGTAATTTCATATTGAATTTTAAAACATTTTAGCCAGTTATAAAATTTAAAATATTCTTACAGTCTGTAGTAACTCATAGCTATCTGTACCCTTGGAATTGAGGCCAGAAATTTCCAGAAGTCGCTTTGCTCTTTTATTTTTATAACTTTCTTCATGATAAAGAAGGTAACATCAGAAATGGAGTTGTATTACTAAGCAAGAGAAATTATGAACAATTGGACAGTGATGGCCCCTGAGTTCACCTCATGTTAAAGGAGTGGTTCCCAGTGGTTCGAACTTTGCAGTTTTATGTTGCTGGTCACCAGTGCTGAGGTTAAAGACTTCGTCTGTTTTTTGGTTTCTGGTTGCCTTTGGTGTCTATGTTCAGGGAGAGGATGGGGTCATAAAATCAGCCCAACTGCCTATTGAGAGAATCATGCCTTCCAGAAAGGGACTTTGGTGTCAGAGTACAAACAATAACTTTCTTGTTTTAACATAAATAGAAAATGCTATTAAAATTTTTTAACCCACTGTCACTAGTGGAGCTTAGAATATATTAGACCTGGATATAAGCAGATAACTTTCTAGATAACACTGTCATATTACAGTACAATATTTGAAGTAGAATCTAAAAATTTTCTTGTCTTTCTGATTGGTATTCATTTTGGCTTCTAATAATTTAGCATTTGCCAACTCTTTAGTTAATCCTCAGAGATATTAATTCACTGTAGGGGTTCACTATTTAGGGTATGCTGAGGTAAAAATCCTTTGAAGAGAGAAAGCCTATAGAATACTACATATCATCTGTGAACCCATTTCTGTCAGATTTAATTCATAATGAATTAAGTTTACTCCAAACAAACAGAGTTAAGCTTCCTGACTCATGTTTTTCTCCTATATTAAGCCAAGGCAAATTATTTTTTACTTCTTAGTTATAATCCAGTAACTTTGGGGTAGTAAAACATAGATTAAGTTTCACAGTTCAATTTTAATTATTTTCTATTTTTTCTTTGTTCATACTTGAGACTAGAGTTAATTTTAAAACATGCACCCTGTCAGAAAAGACATCTGAGAAACAAAAGACGCAAATTAATTTTCACTTTTGCACCTGCAAAAAAAAAAAAAAAAGTCTCAAGAACCAGAACTGGGTAAAAATTGTAATAAAGACGATATATCTGTATATTCAGGACTTCCTTTAAAATTCATTACAAAGACTCACACCTGTAATGCCAGCACTTTGGGAGGCCTAGGCGGGCGGATCACCTGAGGTTGAGAGTTTGAGACCAGCCTGACCAACGTGGAGAAACCCCGTCTCTACTAAAAATACAAAATTAGCCAGATGTGGTGGCACATGCCTGCAATCCCAGCTACTCGGGAGGCTGAGGCAGGAGAATCGCTTGAACCTGGGAGGCAGAGGTTGTGTTGAGCCAAGATCATGCCATTGCACTCCAGCCTGGGCAACAAGAGTGAAAGTCCATCTCAAAAAAAAAATTCATTACAAAAAAGTTCAACTGAAGATTGTTGAAAGTTTTGAAAAATCCAAAATTACTGTTTGTCCTGAGGAAGAGCTCTTACGTTGTAAACCTAAAGAGGGACAAAGTTAAAGGGAGTGCCCCGTAATCTGATGAATCATATCCCTGATAATATCCCTGAGGAAGCAGATACACCTGGAGTGTCTTAACTCTGTAGTATTCCAGGCATTGCCTGAACAGAACGAGCCCATCTCACTCAGGTCTTGTCATTGCATTTACACTCGGAGTCCCTCAAACACACTTGCCAGTCGTCTTCTAAGCTTTATTCAAATGAAAATAAATCAGACTGTAAAAATTGTAACAAACCAGACATGTCGCCATTTCTCACAGAGATGAAGAAGAAAGAGAATTGTTGTAATGATACAGAAATTGAAAAATTAAGGAACCCAGTAGTTATGGCTGAAATGAAAGAAGACTAAGAGTTTGATATTCAAATGACAAGAAAATACAACCCAAAATACCACAGATTGGAAATTAGACATTAGACATTGGCCTCAGTCTAGAGATGCAAAAAGTCTTTTTGGTTTGTGGTTTGCTCACTTCAAAGAATTGAAGCATGTAATATGGATAGAAAGCTACAGTATTTCTGCTGTTACAGACACTTACAAAAACCGAAAACCAATACAGCGCTTGTTCCACAAGCCATATGGAACTTAGAAGCTCTTCTAAAGCTTAGAAGATGACTGGCAAGTGTGTTTCAGGGACCCACATGTGACAGTCCCACTGCTAATATCTATAAAAGCATGAAACCCGAATTAGAAAATGTGAGTTATTCTCCACCACATAGTGACAGAACATCAAAAGCATATGTAGAAGAAGACTTACAGCAAGATATGCAAAGGCTTAAGCATGAGGTGAGCTTGTTACAAGTAGAGGTCCTGGCTTTGAAGAAAAGAAGTTCAACTATAAAAAGAAAGAGGTTCCCTTGCTGCTTCTCTTATTATAAGTTATCTGATTCTTTCTGGTTCTCTACTCAAGAAAATCTCATGTGTATAGTTACAGTGGGGTTATCTAAACGTGTAGTCACGTGTCAAAGTAGATTAGTGCTGCTATCTAAATGACAGTTCTGGAAAACATTCCCATAATCTTTGCTCATTGATCAACTTAAGTCTCACTATGAGTCTTCCAAGTGGCATATGTGCTGGGAAAATTATTTAACCATATACCATGTGACCTTCTGAACTAGATAAGCATAAGGGAAATTGCTAAAGAAATAATGTCTAGATTCTTTTTTCTATATTCATTTTAATATGAATTACATTTATTTAAATGATAAAATGGTAATACAATGGGAGGGAAGCAATGACTGAGAAGAGACATGAAAATGTGTCTGACCTTGAGAGTTGCAACAAATATTTCCAGCCAAAGACGTCTGTTTAATGTGCTTCATGCATGCAGGTTTATCTGTTTGACTCAAACTGTTTAAACTTATAATTCCATCATGGCCACTTTAAATAATTTTGGAAACAAATATATATACTTTCACATATTTAAAAAAATCATCACTCTCCAATGTTTCTGTTGAATCAGACTTTTACATGATGTTGTTTCATAAAATATGGTAGGTTTTGAGATGTATGATTTTATCATATAAGTACCATAACTCCTCAGCCAAAAATTTAGCATTTGACTCTGTAGTAGAAGGCTGAGTTCTGTACATTGTGTTCTAAAGATAGACAAAAATCTAGAGATTTTCTTTCAAAGTAAAAGCAGATGAGGCCTCCCACCACCCTCTGAGCCATTAAATTGCTTTGCCAAAGTCACACCTTTAATTTATTTGATGAATTTAATGCATTTATCTGGTAATTTATGTAATTCAGCAACATGTAATTGTATCTTCCCTTTTGGTGCCACGAAATGCTAGGTAATGCCACCTTAGGAGCGTTGAGTGAGTTACTTAATATTTCTTGGTTTTACTTCCCTTATCAAGTAGATAATGGGGCTAGAGTGGACAACTATACTGTATATCTTCCAGCTATAAACTTTTGTGGTAAGTGAATGTAAATTTGAGGAACATCTCATTTTCCAGGATTCTGCACTAGCAACTCAGCAGTTTCACTCAGCTCCTTGTGTTGTGGCAAACTTTGGTTCCTCTATTTCAGTGAGCACCTTCACTTTTTTGGTATCCCAGGATCCAAATGAAAAAATAAGGAGAACAAACAGTGGGGAAAAGAATAGCTTAGTGCAGAAAAGGGAAAGCTTCTTTTCTGTTTCTGAAGCCCCACATGTCACATCCTCTCAATCTGGCTATTTCATGGAGAATCCAGGTGACAAAGACAGAAGACACATTTTATGCCTGTGTCTTTTTGTTTCTCTGTTTTTGTGTTGATACATTTACACCACAGAAGTACCTGTGATCTGATGGAGAACTAGAAGTAGAATCAGAAGCCCTGAGGAAAATCCTGCAGCTTGCTTATATTTTTAACCTCTCTTCTTTAAGGATTGTGATGATTAAATAAGTTCATCAATGTATGTATGTAGAAGTGCTTAGTACAATGTCTAGATTTATGATTTAGTAAATGTAATTCTTACAACTGACTAAAAAATGTTGAGTCAAATCACAATAGAATATGATCAGAGAAACAGAACTTTTAAAACTTTGAGAGATTTTATCTGTCCAAATAGATGTGGAGGTAAAGCTCTTGCTCTAGGGTGGTGTCTGGGTTAGATATCAGAGTATAAATGCAATTTTCTTTTTTCAAGATTTTAGTCAAAATTTTTAACATTTAACTTTATGCTTTGAGTTTGTTGTAATTCAGAGAAAGGTTTTTCCAATTCTGATATTCTTAAAAATTCTCTAGAGTGTGTGTGTGTGTGTGTGTGTGTGTGTGTGTGTGTGTGTGTGTGTTTACTTTTATGGATTCATTGACATCAAATAAATTTAATTTTTTTTTTTTTTTTTTTTGAGACGGAGTCTCACTCTGTCGCCCAGGCGGGAGTGCAGTGGCCGGATCTCAGCTCACTGCAAGCTCTGCCTCCCAGGTTTACGCCATTCTCCTGCCTCAGCCTCCCGAGTAGCTGGGACTACAGGCACCCGCCACCTCGCCCGGCTAGTTTTTTTGTACTTTTTAGTAGAGACGGGGTTTCACCGTGTTCACCAGGATGGTCTCGATCTCCTGACCTCGTGATCCGCCCATCTCGGCCTCCCAAAGTGCTGGGATTACAGGCTTGAGCCACCGCGCCCGGCCTGACATCAAATAAATTTTTGAACTTTTTGAAATGTATGCTAAGGTTCAAGGTTTTACTTCAACTTTTTCTCCAGTTTGATATCCACTTACAGCAACTTTTAATTCCATGAATGTACAGGTTGTTCTTTCACTTCAGAAATAACCATGATATGTTATTTTGTTGAGTGCTAGCTAAAAATTTGTTTTGTTTTATTTAGGATTCTCAAAGTTATGGAAGAAAGAAGGATGTGATATATGGAAATTACATGTTGAAGAGAGACATTGCCATGCTCAAACAGGAATTATACACAATAAAAAATGACAGTCTCAGAAAGGAAAAAGAATATATTCGGGAAATTAAAAGTATTACAGAAATGAATGCTAACTTTGAAAAGAGTGTAAGACTCAATGACAAAATGATAACAAAAACAACGGCCCAGTATTCGCAACAGCTTAATGAACTGAAAGCTGAGAATACAAGGCTGAATTCAAAATTGGAGAAGGAAAAACACAGCAAAGAAAGACTAGAAGTTGAAGTTGAATCCCTCCATTCTAGCCTGGCCACTGCTATAAATGAGTACAATGAAATTTTGGAAAGAAAAGACCTGGAACTAGTTTTATGGAGAGCAGATGATGTTTCTGTACATGAAAAAATGGATTCCAATATTTCTCAATTAACAGATAAGAATGAGTTGCTTACCAAACAACTTTCTAAAGCTCGGGTGAAGTTCAATACCTTAAAAGGTAAGCTTCATGAGACAAGAGATGCTCTCAGGGAAAAGACACTGGCTTTAGAAAGTGTACAGATGGACCTAAAGCAAGCGCAGTATCGATTAAAGGAAATGAAGCAGATGCATCCAAATGAGGAAGCTAAAGAAAGTCAATCCTTTGGAAAGCAGAACTCTTTAGAGGAGAGAATACATCAAGAACTTGAAAATCTATTGCTTGAACAACAACTAAAGGATGCTTATAAGGAAGGCAATAATAAAGAGATAGTCATTAATATCCAAGAAGACTGTCTTGAGAATGGAAAGGAAGATCTTACAGAAGAAAAAAATATGGAATTAATGAATGAATATAATTATTTAAAAGAAAAACTGTTTCAGTATGAAAAAGACGAAGCAGAAGGAGAAGTAAGTATGAAGAAAACTGTTTTTAACCTTCTGGAAACAAATTTAAGCATTTCATTCTGGCTGTATGTTGAACCTAGTTCAATATAAAAATAAATAGATGAAAATGTGTTTACCATACTGTATAATTCCATTTACATGAATCATCCAGGAAATACATGTATAGGAACAGAAAGAAGATTAATGTTTGTGTAGGGCTGGGGCTGGAAATGGGTGGTGACTGCTAATGGGCATGAGGGATTGTCCTGGAGTGATGAAAATGTTCTAAAGTTGGATTGTAGAGATGGTTGCATGACATAGTAAATTTACTAAAAATATTTGAACTGTTTGTTAAAACAGATAAATTCTATAAATCGTATTTCAACAAAGCTGTTTTAATAAAAATCATATTTCCACAAAGCTGTTTTAATACAAAACCAAAAAAATATGTTTACTGTATCAGCTTGGAAACATACTCTGTTTCCAGAAAATAAAAGGTAGAACTGGCAGATGCTTTCCTTTGAGTAAAGACATTATGTCACCAATGAAATTTTAGTAGATACAGAGCAATGTTGATAAGGGAGGTAGTCTTATACTACTGAAATAATAAATTTAATTTCTTTATGTTGCCACATTCTAAGACCATAATGAAGCAGGTAAATGGAAATGCTTGTACCTGAAATGTGTATTTTGAAATTAAGATTCAATTAAGTGAGCCGCTTTGACACTTAATTCTAGATTTCCCAGATGAAGTGAAGTTTGTTGCTGTGTCTTGTGATGCTTTTCCTTTAGTGACTCTCTCTTTTATGTATTTTGGTTGGTATAACTTTGTTTTGATTCATACCAATGTGACTTAAGTCTAAAAATATGTCAGTCTCACATTATGTATTTTTCTGACCACTTAGAATTTTAAAGACATCTACTTGTTATAAAATCACAATTTGGAATAAATGTCACAAATTTTAGCAAAAAAAAATTTGATATAATGTTCCCACTGGTAGGTATTTATAATTTATTGTGAATATTTTATGAATAATTAGCTCATAATTTACATTTTAAGTCTCAATGGCTATCATTTAGATATAACTCTTTCCCGTACAAGGATACTTGTAGCTGTCTGTGATTTATGAGTTTGACATTGAATCCCCATTTTCAGACTAATAAGGGGTGGCAGAGTTCATGGAGAATGGGATGGAAGTGAGTATGGGACACAGATGTAGGAGCTGAGGTCAGGGAGGGAGTTAGAGGCCATGTTACCTAGGGCCTTGAAGGCTATTGGAATTTTACTTTTATTCTGAGATAGGAATCTGTTGGAAGGATTTCAATAGGTGACTGAATATGTGAGGAACTCAGGTTGAGTTGAGGATCTAAGATGAATGAATAGTGGGCTGAATCCATCTGTCATGTAAGAGAATGATTTGGCAGGAAGATAACACCTTCTGTGCCCCTCACTGAATTCAGTAATAAAGAAGAATGTGTACATATGAGGAAAAGAAAGTGAATCTGTGTGTGTGGTAATAATTTTCAAAGCATGTATGCTAGAGTTAAATATTAACATAATTTAATAATAAGGCACTTTATAAAATTGGTAACAAAAATATTTTATCAGGTGATTGTGAGACGACTTCAAGAAGAACTGGCTGATCACCTTAACAAATTTTCTATGTCAGAATCTCCACTGGAAGGTACATCACATTGTCATATTAATTTGGATGACACACAGGCTTCAAAGAAGAAATTATTTCAAGTAGGAAGTCAAGTATGTATGGAATTTAATATGTAGACCATTAATCTGTAGCTGGTTGAATAATATAAAGTGTTTAGGATACTAATTTCAGTGGACAGCCTGTTTTTGTAATTTCATTATAATTGATTATTACCATTTTATTATCTTTATAACGTACTTATTTCTTCAACTCTGGCTCTTGTTCTGACATTTTGAAAAATAGTTGCATATGTTTTCTCTTACAATGTTTACTCTTGGGAAAGTTGAGAATGATAAATCACTCCTCACAGAAAATTGACTTTTTTCCTGTTAAACAGTATTTTTAGATAATTTCCTTATTGTCTTGGTGAGGCAAGCCAGATTGAGTCAGAGGAGAATGTTTAATGGAATATTGCAGAAAGTTGTCTTATTTCTTCACTTTTGTGAATGGACACAGAAGCTGTGCCTATTCATTTCATGGATTCTAGGTTAACTTGTACAGAAAGGTCATCATACTGTTCTTTGAAATGCACACGTTTTAGATTAATTCACAAACTGCTTGAAAAGTTAGGCATTGCCTTCATCTTCCTTTCATTTAAAATATACTGTAATGGCATAAAAATATTCAGATCTGATAGAGCATGTACATCCAAAATAGAGAGCTGAGAAAATTATCTTGATCCTACCATGAGATTTTTGAAACAATTTCACTGAGAGATAATTCACATGTCAGACAGTTCAACCATTTAAAATGTATAACTCAGTGTCTGTTAGTATATTCACAGCATTGTGTAATAATCAGCACAATCAATGCTAGAACATTTTCGCCACTCTGAAAAGCAACCCCACATCTCTTAGCCATGACTGCAACCCCTCTCCATGTCTCTCCACCTACCCCTACCCCATGTCTCTCCATCTACCCCAGTTATAGGCAACCACCGTCCACTTTTGTCTCCATAGATGTGTATGGTCTGCATATTTTATATACACAGAGTCATACAATATGAAGTCCTTTCTGACTGGCTCTTTCACTTAGCAGAATGTTTTCAGAATTTTATCCATGTTGTAGCACGTATCAGTAGTTTATTCCTTCTTATTGTCTCATAATAGTCTATTTCATGGCTACACCAGTTTTCCATTCATTCGTCAGCTGATGGACCTTTAGGTTGTTTCCACTTTTTGGCTATTATGAAAACAGCTGTTGTGAACATTCATTTACAGGTTATTGTATGGATGTATGTTTTTATTTCTCTGCCATTGGACTTTATCCTAGCGTTAATTGGGCAGATGTCAGCCCCAGTTTTACCCATGCTGTCCTTCCTGCCTTCTCAGTTCCTGCTCATCTAGCCTCATTCATTCAGACCTGGCAGGCAATTTCCTCTTCATGAAGCTTTCTCTGACTGTTCTTACTCTCACTGACCTTACATCTCAGCACTTGTTGCCCAGTCTGCAGAATAACTTAGCCCTTAATTTGACATGGCTTTTATTTTTGATGGAAGATAATTTTGTCTCATCATAAATTTGCTTAAAGGGAAAATAATATCTGACATGCATGTCACCTATCCTTGTATAAATTGAAAATATTTTAGCTTGGCAGCTTTTAGCATAGAACAAAATATACCATACCAATGATTTCTTCTTTGAGACATTAACACAGTAAGTCTTTTTATTCTAAGTGTATTTTTAGCAATTAAATATGAAATTAAAACCAATTAGTCTAATAAAGGAGAATTGTTCAATCAAATGCTCATGTTTTTCTCAGTATGAAAAAAGAATCTAAATTTGCCTTCCTTCACTATGTAGCCAAAACTGTATTTCTGGATGGTTGCCAGTTTGTCAGCTGAACAGTTCTGGGTGCAGCTTGTCTGATGAAAGCACAGCCCCTTAATCTGAGCGCTCAGCAGAGTACTCGTGAAAGCAGTGCCACAGCAACAGCTTCTGGGAGGGAATTGATTCAGAAGCCTTGATTTAGCAATAGAGTCCAGGGTTTTCAGCTCCGTGGCTCAGCCTGTCTCTGCTGGTCATGTCGGTTATGTACTACTCAATCCAGGAGGTGCTGTTTACATTGTACTACGTACATGACTGTTGCCCACTGAGTCATATGGAGAGAAAAGTAAGCTATAAATTATGCGCTCCCCATTTGCTGCCACTTTCAGTGGTGTGAAGAATGATTCAGTGCAGCTATAGGAGACTACTCCCATTGGAATGCCACCTGCCTAACGTGTACAATTGTCAAGATATAAAAAAGTAAAAATTACCATGCTAATAGCAAATCTTATCTGTAGTTCACTATGTACATGGACTCTTCTAAGTGCTTCTAAGCAAATCTTATCTGTAGCTCACCATGCACCATGTACTCTTCTAAGTACTTCATGTCAGTCCCCGGTTTAATCTTCCCAACATCCCAGTGAAGTAGATGGTATTATTCTCTCCATTTCATAGATAAAGAACCAGAGACACAGAAAATTAATTTTCTCAAGTTCACACAGCTAGTATCTGGTAGAGCTGGGATTCAGACCCAGGCCTTCTGGCTTCTGTGTAGAACTGCTTCTCAAACCATTGCATGGAACACCTGGTTGGTGAGGTGGTTAATGCCAGTAATTCTAGCACTTTGGGAGGCTAAGGCAAGAACAGTGCTTGAGCCCAGGAATTTGAGACCAGCCAGAGCAATATAAGTGAGACCCTGACTCTACCAAAAAAAATTTTTTTTAACAGATGAGGCATGGTGGTGCATGCCTGTAATCCCAGCTACATTGGAAGGCTGTGGTGGGAGGATCGCTTGAGCTCAGAATATCAAGGCTGCAGTGAGCGGTAATCAAGCCATCGCACTCCAGCCTGGGTAGCAGAGCAAGACTCTGTCTCATAAATAAAATGTTTTTTATAGATTCGCATAGAGTTGATTTAGACATCAGGCATAGAATTATTAGCCACTGTGATGTCTGCCTTGGGAGTAAAACATATAATAAGGGACAGCTTTAAACCATTTCAGTCAATAGCTTCTAACTTCTCCAGAAGGTTCTTATTTCATGAGTTCCTAAGCAAGAGACTACCTGGATAAGACATTTGGTGGACACCATTTTGAGATGAAGAATCTTGATTAGGAAGAAGGGAGATCTCTGCTTGACTGGAGCTTCCCAATGATATAGTTGAGTGTCCCCAGAAAGAAACTGTAGAACAAGATGTTCATCATGCCATATCTCTATGGAAAAGGAAATTCTTTAGAAGGAAACAAAGGCAAACAATTGATAATCTGATTCTCATGGGAAAGTTTTCATTATACAAGAAAAAAAGGGCTGGGTGCCATGGCTCATGCCTGTAATCCCAACACTTTGGGAGACTGAGGTGGGTGGATTGCCTGAGGCCAGAAGTACAAGAACAGCCTGGCCAACATGGCAAACCCCTGTCTCTACTGAAAATACAAAAATTAGCTTGGTGTAGTGGTGTGCAACTGTAGTCCCAGCTACTTGGGAGGCTGAGGCAGGAGAATCACTTGAACCCAGGAGATGGAAGTTGCAGTGAGCCGACGTGACACCACTGCACTCCAGCCTGGATAAAAGACTGTGACTCTATCTCAACAAAAAAGAAAGAAAAAGAAAAAAAGGACAAAGTATAGTGGTCAAAAAAAGGAGAGAGAGAGATATGAAAGAAAGAGAGAGAAGGAAGGAAGGAAGGAAAGAAGGAAGGAAGAAGAAAGAAAAAGGGAAAGAAAGAAAGGAAAGAAAGAAAGAGAAAGAAAAGAAAGGAAGGAAGGACAAAGTATACTGGTCAATATCCAAAGAAAAAGGAAAAAAAAAGAAAAGAAAAGAAGGAAAAAGTACAAAGTATACTGGTCAATATCCTAAGGGTGAGACAGCCCCCCTTCAAGATTAGAAAATAATACTATATTCAAAGTAACATCAATAAGAATCAACATAAAATAGACAAGATTCACTATCTACAAAAGTAATCTGCACCAAGTAGCAATGTATGAGTGTGTGGTTGAAAATATTGTCTATAATATGTGTACTAGAAGGAAGAAGCCTCAGTAAAAAGGTCAGAGTTGGAAATATATATTAGGGAATCCAGGTTAACCTTTGGAGATTTTAGGAGTTCTGAGAGAATTTAAAAAGAGGAGTAGCAGCCGGGCATGGTGGCTCATGCCTGTAATCCCAGCACTTTGAGAGACCGAGGTGGGCGGATCATGAGGTCAGGAGTTCAAGACCTGCCTGGCCAACATAGTGAAACCCCATCTCTACTAAAAATACAAACAATTAGCTGGGTGAGGTGGTGGGCACCTGTAATCCCAGCTACTCGGGAGGCTGAGACAGGATAATCACGTGAACCCGAGAGGTGGAGGTTGCAGTGAGTGGAGATCGCGCTGTTGTGGAATCAGGAGGACCAGAGACAGACCTTGAGGTGTATACAGGAGGATATCTTTATTGAGTGTATTCAGATCCAGTGGACTCAACTTTTGACAAACTGGGCCCAGAACAAAGACAGCACTTGACTTTTTTTATGCACACCTCAAAAAGAGGGTGGGCTAGCTTGAAGCAGGCTTACAGTTAGAGTGGCGTGAAAGCACGGATACAGAGCAGAACAATTAATTAAATTGTGACAGGTTCATAACTCAGGATTACACATGACGTTTGCCAAGCAACCCAGATGTCTGTTATCTAGGTTTTGCTCTAAAGAGCCATACACTGGTTTATCTCAAGTTTCAGTATACAAAGTGATGAAAAGTAGATCTCTGGATGAGACCATGTGTCATAGAGTCCAATGGAAGGGGAGAAACAGGATAATAGAAAAGCCACAAAAACTAGACAAAAGTTATTATTTGTTTATTATAGAAAAAATAAACTTTGTTTAAAGAGAAATGGTAAAGAGACATGGAAAGACAAACCCACAGGTGAATACTTACAGAGGATGACAGTATTTAGCTCAGCCTGAAGATAGATGAGGATCAAAAATGTAATGGGAACTAGTAAGAGTTTTCTAAAAATCATCTTAATAAGATGTAATTTAACTTGGAATATCTTAAACTATTAATGACAATGTTTCTAGAGCATCTTTAAAAACTAAAATGTAAATATAGCTACCTTTATTTTTTTTCTTTTACTAACCCTTAGTATTTTATGTGTAAAAATTCTCATTTTTAACAAACATTTTTGGCAGTTTAAATTTCAGAAAAGATAATGATGAAAGTGTGAATCATTTTTAGCTGTTTTAAGAAAATGACTATTTTTGAAATCTGTCCTTATTGGCATCAGGTTTATAAAACGCACTTTATATACCTGCCTAAATACATATTATTCGTCAACTTATGAGAAATAATATTTTTAAGATAAAAGAGGGGCTCTAGATTTTGCAAAAATAATTTTAAACCCTTTGTTTAAGCCTGAAGAAAAACATGAAGAATTCAGAAAACTTTTTGAGTTAAGATCATCACTGGACTATAATGTGGATCAAATAAGAAAGAAAAATCATAAATTAGAAGAAGAGACAACTGGGTATGGTTTTCATATTATAGGACATTTTAACCATTTGTTAATTGATTTAACTCTAACTTTACTTGACTAAAACCTAGATACAAATTCATTTTATGTCTACATTTTCATAATTAAACGAATTGTATTTTAAAATGTATTTCAGAAACTCACAACGCAACTTTATAGGCATGTGAGCAGGAGTCCATGACCCTTGCACTTTTTTGTTGGAATTATTAAAAAATCAAATTTCAGTATAAAAACACAATAACTGATGAAAAATAGATCTCTGGATGAGACCATGTGTCACAGAGTCCAGTGGAAGGGGAGAAACGGGGCAGAAGTCAGCTAAGTGCTATGGCGAAGTTGGGATGAAAACATTCATATTAAAAATATGTGAAAAAAAAGAAACAATGCGATCTCAAAATTTTTTTGAATGCCGAAACATTACACTTATTTATTTATTTATTTATTTTTTGAGACAGAGTCGGGCTCTGTCACCCAGGCTGGAGTGCAATGACACGATCTCGGCTCACTGCAACCTCCACCTCCTGGGTTCAAGTGATTCTCTTGCCCGAGCCTCCTGAGTAGCTGTGATTACAGGAGTGCACCACCCTGCCCGGCGAATTTTTATATTTTTTGTAGAGACAGTGTTTCACCATGTTGATCACGCTGGTCTCGAACTCCTAACCTCATGATCCACCTGCCTCGGCCTCCCAAAGTGAGGCATGAGCCATTGTGCTTGGCAACGTATTCTTTAATGGTTTTGAAAACAATAATGACAATGCTTTGGGCATGTGATGTCAAGTGCACTCTTCATGACCTAGTTTGAATTTTTATTTCTGAAGATATTTTTGCTGTATTTGGTCATCTTTTCTTCCTTTTACAGTGTTCTTCTCTGCTGCATTCAAATTTTTTAAAGACCTATTTGTGTCATTCTTTAACATCAAAATTTATCTTGATATATAGCTTGTATTTGGTTTCTGCTTCTTTCTTTTGCTTTTAGATATAAAACATATCATGGAAATTTACTCATTTTACATGGGTACCTCCATTGTATACATGAAGTATACATCTTACTAAACTTTTGTTTTACAGAAATAAATTATACATATGTATAAATATATGTATAACCTAAAGAAAAAGAGTAAAAGACCATTCATGTTTTGATCACAGATTTAAAAAAAAAATGGAATGTGTCTTTGAAGTCCTGAACACAGCTAGTTTTCTATTTATTTACTGAGCACTTAAGTTGGTTCTCTGATTCTATTCAACATTTTTCTGTCATTGTCTTTCTCTACATGGTTTTGTATCTCTTTCATTTTGTTGGATTATGTCAGTAAAGATCTCTAGATCTCTTCTTCAAAGTCTTTAAATCATATCTGTCTCCACCTTTCCTTTTTTCTAAAACTGCCTGTTTTCTTTTTCTCCTCAACTCAGATATTAAAGATGTTTCCTTACTTCTCTTTCTCTACATTGAATGACCTTCTTGATGCTTTTTGTGTGTACTTTTTTTTCTTGTTATCGACTGTGGTCATCGGATATCAAAATGTATTTTTGTGTCTTTTTCAAACATGTATGTGTTTTACTTTTTTTTATCTTAGTTACTCATCTCTGGGTTATGGCGTATATTTACTAATAGGTCATTTTATCTTAGCATACCAAAATGGATGTGAATAGTTTATTTATAAAAAACTGTATGGTTAGGCCAGGTGTGGTGGCTCATGCCTGTAATCCCAGCAATTTGGGAGGCCAAGGCAGGTAGATCATTTGAGGTCAGGAGTCCAAAACCAGCCTGACCAAAATGGTGAACCTCATCTCTACTAAAAATACAAAATTAGCCAGGGATGGTGGCACATGCCTGTAATCCCAGCTACTTGGGAGGCTGAGACAAGAGAATCACTTGAACCCAGGAAGCAGAAGTGGCAGTGAGCCGTCATCACGCCATCGCACTTCAGCCTGAGCAACAAGAGTGAAATTCCATCTCAAAAAAAACTGTATGGCTATCGTATCACTTTACCTGCTATGTATGCCATAAAATTGTTGTTCATATTATTTATCTAAGATTATAATTTCATATAGAATATTTTCAAACTATGTTCAGTTGAAACTGAGAGGATCATAGTTTATAGATTTGTTTCTTTGATATGCCATAACATAATATCTGTTTAAACAATTATTAAATATTTACTCTTACAAATACTTGACTTACTACTTCTGTACATTTCTGCAGATATAAGAAATGCCTAGAAATGACAATAAATATGTTAAATGTATTTGGAAATGAAGACTTCAGTTGCCATGGAGACTTAAATACAGATCAACTGAAAATGGATATTCTGTTTAAGAAGCTAAAACAGAAGGTAATTAAAAATAATTATTTTATCTTAAGGTCTAGATTACATGTGCGAGACGTGCAGGTTTGTTACATAGGTAAATGTGTGCCATGGTGGTTTGCTGCACCTATCAATCCATCACCTATGTATTAAGCCTCGCAGGTGTTAGCTATTAATATTGATGCTCTCCCTCCTGACCCAAACAGGCCCAGGTGTTTGTTGTTCCCCACCCCAAGTGCATGTGTTCTCATCATTCAGCTCCTACTTATAAGTGAGAAGATGAAGTGTTTGGTTTTTTGTTCCTGAGTTAGTTTGCTGAGGATAACAGCTTCAAGTTCATCCATGTCTTGCAAGGAGCATGATCTCATTTGTATGGCTCCATAGTATTCCATGACGTATATATACCACATTTTTTTTATCCTGTCTATCATTGATGGACATCTGGGTTGACTCCATGTCTTTGCTATTGTGAATAGTGCTGCAATGAACATACAAATACATGTATCTTTGTAATAGGATAATTTATATTCCAACATAAGGTAATTTTAAATCAGTTTGGGGATTAAAATTATGTAATTTGGGGAAATATTAATGATGGATAAACCCAAATTCAGCCATAATATGTTTAAGGAGGTTGATTCTGAGCCAATATGGTGACTGTGGCCCTGGATTACTGAATCTCCAGAGCTCTTGAGAAAGTTTCATGAGACAGTCAGATTACAGTTTGGTTTTGGTTTTGTACATTTCCAGCAGACAGAAGGTGTAGGGAAAATCATAAATCAATATGAGGAAGGCAGACATTGGCTCAGCCTAAAAGTGGGACATCAAAAAGGAGGGGCTAACAAGTCATAGGTGGGTTTTGGGGATTCTTTAGGTGACAATTGGTAAAGAAAATCTGTTGTCTAAAACTGGAAATAGGTAGAAAGGAAGGCCTTAATTAAGATAAGGTGGTTATGGAGGTTAAGGTTCTTATTATGTAGACAAAGCCTCATAGCTGGCAGCCCTCAGAGAAAATAGAGGGTAAAAATATCTTTTCAGACTTTAAATGCATCAGGCTCTTAGTTAATCTTCCCTAGATCTGGGAAGACCTAGAAGGGGAGAGATTGGGCTACATTAATGAAGACTTCTTACAGATGCAGTTTCCCCCACAGAAGACAGCTTTGTACAGTCATTTCAATTTCTTGGTCCTGCAACAGCCATTTCAAAATGTGTCAAAAATATATATATATCTGGGGGTAAAATACTTTGATTTTTTTCAGCTTCTTCTCTCTGTGATGCTGTACCAGAATCACGTTAGAAAGTAAGCCACATCATAAGAGTTAATAAAACCTGTCTGATGAGATTTGATAATTTGAAGGGTGTGATTCCCAGACCCTTTAGATAGAAACTGGGGCAAAAGAATACAAGGTCTTTCTCCTCAATATAAATCTCTCAGTGCTTTAAGCGGTGAAAGATTTTTCATTTAATTTTACAGACTTGATGCTAATAAAAAGGATACTTAAAAAAAAATTATATATATATATACACACTATACATCTTATAAGACATGCTGTTGATTCTCTTATGTCTTGAACCCTGGCCAGTGGTCTGAAACCAAGCAGCCCATGTCTCCAGATCACTAGTATCAAATAAATTTTGGGGTGCAACAGGTTTATTGAGAAATAATTAACACACCGTGCAATTCACTCATTTAAAATATACAAGTCATTGACTTTTCGTATTTTCAGAGAGTTATGCAATCATCATTACAATCAATTTTAGAATATTTTCATCACCCTAAAAACAAACCCCATATCATTTAGCCATATTCACTAGTTTTCTGTTCCTCCTTCAGCCCTAGGTAACCACCCACCTTCTTTGTATAGATTTGCCTATAAGCCTCTGAAATAAAAAGCAAGTGGTCTACTGTGACTGGCTTATTTCACTCAGCATAATTTTTCATGATGCATCTGTGCTATAGCAGGTATTGATGCAGGGTTTTTGCTTCTTAATTCAGCTAAATCTGGGTTCTTCTCATGATCAGGAAAAATTAGGCACGTGGACACATTGAAGGGTGAGGAGGACAGAATTTATTAAGTGAAAGGGAAGCTCTCAGCAAAGAGAAGGGTCCTGCAATCAGATTTCCACCTCACAGTTGAATACCAGGACCAGCACACATGAGCTGAAGAGGCCAGGCTCCTCCTCTGCATAAGGCATGAATTCCTGGTGGCTCCACCCCAACCCCCCAGTGCATGTGGGCCTCTGGTCCGCTGCTGGCATGTCCAGGCAAAACCCTGTGCAGGTTCCCTTATCTGCACCAAATGTTTTGTCTGGTGTAGACACTTGTGGGCCTGGTTGGAGATTCTCTGGGGACTGTGCTGTATCTGCCTAGGCATTTTGCTGTCTCCTGCTTCTATCAGTATCAGTACTTAATTTCTTCTTATTGCTGAGTAATATTCCACTGTATGGATACATTAAACATTTTATGTATCCATTCGTGAGGTGATGGACCTTTGGGTTCTTTCCACTTCTTGACTTTATTAATAATGCTGCTATATAAGTTTTTGTGCTTGCATATGTTTTTATTTTTCTGGAGTATATAATTAATGACTGGAATTTCTGGGTCATATGGTAACTTCATGCTTAACCTTTTGAGGAGCTGCCAGTTTTCCAAAGTGACTGCACCACTTTACATTCCCAGCAGCATTGGATAAGGGTTTTAATTTCTTTACATTTTTCCTAACACTTATTTTCTCTTTTTTATTGAACAAAGATTTCATCCTGTGGTGTGAAGTGATACCACAAGGTGGTTGTGATTTACATTTTCCTAATGACTAATTACATTAAGCATCTATTAATGTGCTTATTATCCATCTTTATATCTTCTTTGCAGAAATATCTATTCAAAATCTTTGCCCATTTTAAAAATTCGGTTATCTTATTATTTATGAATTCTATATCCTATATATGTAAGTCCCTTATTAGATATATGCTTTTCAAATACTTTCTTCTACTCAGTGTCTTACCTTTTCACTTCTTGATACTGTCTTCTCAGGCCCAGCAGTTTTCAATTTTGAAGTCCATTGAATCCATTTTTGCTTTGGAGTCAAGGCTAAGAAAACTGCCAAATGCAGTCACAAAGATTTATACCAATGTTTTTTTCTGAGAGTTTTACAGTTTTAGCTGTTACAGTTAACTGTTTTATTTTGAGTTAATTTTTAGATATGGTATTAGGTGAGAGTCCAACTTTATATATATATTTTTTGCACATGTATACCCAGTTGTTCCAACACCATTTATTGAAAAGACTATTCTTTTCCCATTCTGTTTTTTTGTTAACCTTGTATAAAATCAATTGTAAATGTGCAGGCTTATTTTTAGATTATCAATTCTTAGTTTGTTTATGTCTATTCTTATACTAGGACCAAATCAAATTTAATGAAAAGGTTTTTTTCAATCATGTTGCATATTACCAGTTGTCTTATGTCATAATAAAAATTAAATGTAGTGAAATATCTTTAACTTCACCTTTTGTGTCTCAAAGGAGTCTGTGGTCAGCTTATACCTTACTTACTCTAAGACACAATGGCAAGTCAGGCTTACAAGACACACTTTCTTTCTTTTTTTTCTCCATTTAAACCTTCAGTCTCTTATCCAGTGCCTCCCTCTATAGTTTCGTTTTCAGTAAATTTTGGTCACAGGATATGCTGACATAGTCTACTGTTTAGTGCATTATGTTTTACTAATTCATTATAATTCATAGAATCATCCATAGATATTTACCATCCAGGAAGGAGAAGTTTAAGTCTGAGCTGCCAGCTTTCCTCAGTGGAAACCAAGTGAAGTCATCATCTTCCAGTTCGCAGATCCTCTTGCCATGTGGTAGCTGGTTCTCTTGAGTAGCACTGTGGCTAATCCTTTTCTTGGTGCAGATCTTGCATTCTCAGAAACCACAGTTTCTGTATTGACCTCCTTTGACTGAAACAGAGATGCACAGCTCTGCTTTCTAGCTTACTAGAGGATTCTTGGAATAAAAAGTTTAACTCATTCCAAGAAAAGTTTTAGGAGCGCAGCAGTTAAAAATCAGGTAATATTCAGCAATTTATCAGAGACAAATGGTAGATTGGTATTTTGAATTTCAAAATATCAGAGCCAAGTTGTGTGCTATAGAGAAGCATTGTGGTATAACATAGAGATGGGATTGTCTTAACTTCTCCATACAAACAGGCTTGGAGTAAGGTAAAGGAGAAATTGCATTTGATGTCTTAACACTCAAACCTCACTATGTTTATTTTACTTTTGTGAAGTCTAAAAATCATTCCATAATGTTCTCCTTATTTCCTCCTCATTGAGAAAAAGGAAAATGAAAATTGAATACTAGATTGATTAATAAATACTCAAAGCTTCTTCTCTTTTTTGTTTTTTCTTTTTTTTTTTTTTAGATGGAGCCCTGCTCTGTCACCCAGGCTGGAGTGCAGTGGCGCAATCTCGGCTCACTGCAAGCTCCGCCTCCCGGGTTTGTGCCGTTCTCCTGCCTCAGCCTCCTGAGTAGCTGGGACTACAGGCGCCCGCCACCACGCCCGGCTAATGTTTTGTATTTTTAGTAGAGATGGGGTTTGACCCTGTTAGCCAGGATGGTCTTGATCTCCTGACCTCATGATCCGCCCGCCTCGGCCTCCCAAGCTGGGATTACAGGCGTGAGCCACCGTGCCCGGATCAAAGCTTCTTTTAGAACTTTCGTTAATTGAAATCACATAAATATCTGATTTTGGTTATGTAACCAGGTATTTCTAGTTGTTTTTCAAATCATATGTCTTCTTGCTTCGCAGTCTATAACTTGAGGGGAAATTGTAAGGAGACACCCTTGCCTTATTATCAGAGTTCGTAATTGAAGGGGGTTTTAGGAAAAGTTCCTCTTCAGCAGCTTATGTCTCTTTCCTGGTTATCTGCTGCTTCTCAATAATGTTTGTCATCATTAAATTAATCTCAACATTTATTAGATCCTACTTTAAAGGAGAGTCTTTTCTGCTGTATAAGTTATGTTTCTTGTTGTCTTTTTTTAAAACTTATTTTTCTAACAATTACTCAGAGATTTTTAGCTTAAAAGAAAAACATTTATTTAGTTCATGAACCTGTGGTTTGGAAAAAGCTTGGCCAGGACAGCTTGCCTCTGCTCCCCTCAGCTTCCCTAGGAACAGCTGATCATTTGGGGAAATGGCATCATCTGAAGCTTTGCTCACCCATGCGTTTGATGGTTGATGCTGGCCATTGGCTGGAACCTTGCTTGGGGCAGGCAGCGTGAACACTGACACTGGCACTCCCAGTCTGTCTCTGTGGTCTGATCTCTCTCACAATCTGAGGGCTGAGTTTGAAGGGAAAGCAGCCTGAGATAGGGAAGCCACATGGTATCCCTTTTACTGCATTCTATTCATTAGAAGGAAGTCAGTAAGGATGGCCCATATTCTATTCTTTTGATGGGATAAATATAGCTTCTCTTTTGTTTTAATTGACATGTATATACATAATTTTGGGCTATAGAGTGACATTTTGATACACGTATATAGTGCGTAATGATCAAGCCAACTAGCATATTTACTACTTCAACCATTTCTCATTTCTTTGAATTGTGAACATTCAAAATCTTCTAGCTTTTTAAAAATATACAATAAATCATAGTTAACCATATTTGCCTACAATGCCACAGACCACCACAACTCATTCCTCTTATCTAACTGTAATTCTGTATCCATTAACCAGACTCCCATCCCCTATCTTTATGAGCTTTTTTATTGTTGTTAAGAGACGAGGTCTTGCTAGTGAAGTCTGGTCTCCGGGCAACTGTAGTCACCCAGACTAGAGACAGTGATTTGATCATAGCTCACTGCAGCCTCAAACTCTTGGGCTCATGTGATCCTCCCACCTCAGCCTCCTGAGCAGCTGGGATTGTGGACATGCACCATTGCACTTGTCTGATTTTTCACTTTGTAGAGATGTCTCTCTGTGTTACTCAGGCTGCTCTGGAGCTTTTGGTCTCCAGTGATTCTCCTGCCTTGGTCTTTCAAAGTGCTAGGAAATTACAGGCATCAGCCGTGTCGCCCAGCCCTCAATTACTCTTTTCTTTTTTTTTTGAGATGGAGTTTTGCTGTGTTGCCCGGGCTGGAGTGCAGTGGTGCGATCACAGCTCACTGCAAACTCCACCTCCTGGGTTCGCGCCATTCTCCTACCTCAGCCTCCCGAGTAGCTGGGACTACAGGCGCCCGCCACCACGCCCAGCTAATTTTTTGTATTTTTAGTAGAGACGGGGTTTCACCATGTTAGCCAGGATGGTCTCGATTTCCTGACCTCATGATCCACCTGCCTCAGCCTCCCAAAGTGCTGGGATTACAGGTGTGAGCCACCATGCCCAGCCTCAATTTTTCTTTAGCTTCCACACATGAGTGCGAATGTACGGTATGTATCTTTCTGTGTCTGCACTTAATATAATATCCTCCAGACTGATCCAAATGGCCACAAATAAGAGGATTTCATTTTTTTACATGGTGAATAGTGTTCCATTGTGTATGTGTACCACGATTTTTGGTCCATTCATTTGTTGATAGACATGTAGGTTGATTTATTACATCAGTTGTTGTGAATAGTGCTACAATGAACATATGAGGACAGGTATCTTTGTGATCTATTGGTTTTTTTCTATTGCCTGAATACCCGGTAGTGGGGTTGCTGGATCCCTCGACAGTTCCATTATTAGTTTTTTGAGAAATCCTCATGTTGTTTTCTAAGTGGCTTCACTAATTTACCTTCCCACCAACACCATGTAAGAGTTTACTGTTCTCTGAAACCTCACCAGCATTTGTTATTTTTTGTCTTTTCTATGATAGCCATTTATTCGAAATGGAGCAAGAGTATATCACATTTTAGGTTTGATTTGTATTTCCCTGATGATTAGTGATACTGAACATTTTTAAATGTATTTATTGGCCATTTGTATTTCTTTTTTTCTTACAAAAAGAAAAACTAATCAGATCTTTTGCGCAGTTTTGAACTCAGATTATTTTTTATACTGTGAGGGTGTTTGAGTTCCTTGTATATTTTGGATATTTACCTTTTATTAGATGAATAGCTTGAAAATATTTTCTTCCATTCTACAGGTTTTCTCTTCACTCAGTTGTAGTACTGTTTGTCTATCGTTTGTTTTTTGCCTGGGCTTCTGATGTCTTACCCATAGAAATCTTCGTGCAGACTAATGTCCTGAAGCATTTTCCCTATCTTTACTTATAGTAGTTTGATAATTTTGGGCCTTACATTTCAGTCATCAATTGATTCTGAGTTTATTTTGCTATATGGTGCTAGATAGGAAGCTAGTGTCATTCTCCATATGGATAGTTTTCCCAGTGCCTTTCATTTGAAGAGGGTGTCCTTTCCCTAATGTATGTTCTTGGCACCTTAGTCCAAAATCAGTTGGCTGTAAATATGTGGATTTATTTCTAGGTGCTGTATTCTATGGCCTTTACCCCAAGAATCATTACTTCTTAAAATTCAATTCAAATTAGCATGAAACATTTGCAGTTTAGGAAAAGCCTTGTGGCATCAGAATCCTTATTTACAGGATTCATTATTTTGTGGTTTTTTGAGATATGGTCTTTGTCTGTCATCCAGGCAGAAGTGCAGGGATGTGTTCATAATTCACTGCAGCCCTGAACTCTGAGTACAAGCCATCCTTTTGCCTCAGTCTCCCAACTAGCTGGGTCTACAGGCCTGAGCCACCATGCCTGGCTAATTTTAAAAAATTGTTTTGTAGAGATGAGTGTCTCACTATGTTGCTCTGGCTGATCTCAAATTCCTGGCCTCCAGTGATCTTTCTGCCACAGCCTCCTAAAGTGCTAGGATTACAGGCATGAGCCACCAGGCCTAGCCTAGAGTATCATATTATTTTCAAAGTCTTATTCTGAGAGCAATTTATTGACTTTGGCCTAAATAACTCAATGTGATAGCTCTGAAACTTTTTTTGACAAATTTTGGGGAGTGGCTGTGAGGGAAGGGGTTAGACACTTTTCACTAGGAGATCACTTTGGCCTAAATAACAATGTGATAGCTCTGAAACTTTTTTTGACAAATTTTGGGGAGTGGCCGTGACGGAAGGGGTTGGACACTTTTCACTAAGAGACCACCTTGGCCTAAATAACAATGTGGTAGCTCTGAAACTTTTTTTGACAAATTTTGGGGAGTGGCCGTGACGAAAGGGGTTGGACAGTTTTCACTAAGAAACCACTTTGGCCTAAATAACGATGTGATAGCTGTGAAACTTTTTTTGACAAATTTTGGGGAGTGGCCATGAGGAAGGGGTTGGACACTTTTCACTGAGAGACCCACTCAGTGCCGTTTCAGGAGGAACAAAAACAAATCGTCGGAAAAATGAAAAGATCAAGCGCAGGTGTTCTGTGGCAAAGATGATGATAGTAGAGCGTGTATTTTTGTGACTCATGGTAGCTTTAACTTCGCTCTTAAAATTCTGAGTAATTTAAGGGTTCACATTTGAAGACTGTGCTACATTATTGATAACATGTTATTGCAAGTAAATGCATTTCAAAATTTGTTACTGGTTTTGTATTAGATTATTCGAAGCCTGCTTCACTATCAAGCTCTATTATTTTATTCATGCAGTTTGATGATCTTACGGCCGAGAAGGAAGCTGTGTCTTCAAAATGTGTCAGTTTGGCTAAAGACAATCAAGTTCTTCAACAGGAGTTTTTATCTATGAGAAAAATACAAGAGAAATGTGAAAAACTTGAGGAGGATAAAAAGATGTTGGAAGAAGAAGTATTAACTCTTAAGACACATATGGAAAACAATATGGTAGAACTTGGTAAAGTACAAGAATATAAATCAGAGCTAGATGAAAGGACAATGCAGATAATAGAAAAATTAGAAGAAACCCATTTACAGGTTAGTTTTTAAAGTCAGGTAAGTTTATCTGTAATGTGCTTTCATTTGTTTCACTGCAAATTATATTTTGAATATGTATATATTGTGTTTCCTCTGCCTCCCTTAGAGCAATTTGCTTTGTAGAGTTCTAGAAAACAAGTGGCATCTTTTTTTTCTTTTAAATATTTAAATTTACATTATTATTATAACAAAATCAGTATTTCAAAGTAATGATTCTCACTATAGAGTCATTTGATGATTAAGACCAACTGGCATAAGATAAAACTGTGATTTAGAAATTATGGGATACTTTTGGATTGGTCTTAAGCTACGTTGTTCATTGTTCACTTTTTAAAATTATAAATGGATTCTATTACTTTTTATAGGACCAGATTACATTAATACTAACATAATTATGATTTCAAATTTTTATAAATCAGATTTAATTCTGAATTCAGTTATTAGTTTTGATATTGCTGATAAATATTTTAAGCTTCAGCCTCTTTTTTTAACATATTCAAAATTGCTCTTTGAATCACTGACTCAAAATGAAAGGCAGCAAACATAATAATTAGGTTATAATTGTTTTAAAAGTGTATTCTTTTCATTTGTTTTAGGGAAAGCAAAATATGAAAAACAATTAGAGCAGTTAAACAAGGATAATATAGCTTCACTAAATAAGAAGGAACTCACACTTACAGATGTGGAATGTAAATTCTCAGAAATGAAAACTGCTTATGAAGAGGTTACAACCGAATTAGCAGAATATAAGGAAGCCTTTGCAGTAGCATTGAAAGCTAACAATTCCATGTCAAAAAATTTAATGAAGTAAGTCAAAACACACTAACAGAAAATGAATTAAGCTCATTAATTTGTTTTGAAAGTATAATTTTTAGTGAGATGGCTTCAGGAGATCAGTAGGAAGTGACTGCTAATCTGATAATGTAATTTTGGAAAACAATGTTAGTAAATAATCTTACCTTTAAAATGTTCTTCAAGGATAGTTTCTGTCTCTATGCTCTCTCTTTTTTTTTTTTTTTTTTTTTTGCTTTTGTATGGCTTTTTTCCCCGAAGTCTCATGTAGTTAACCTGACCTGTTAGTTTTTTTCACTAAGTATTTTTGAAGCTTTATAATTAATAAAGTGATCTTGTTATAAAATTGCCAGAATTTCCCTAAATAGAAATATTAAAGAGTTTATTTTTTGGTAGATCACAACCTAAACCCAAAGTGTCGAGTTGTGCTTCTACTCTGGGCACATCCTGGCACTGAGGCAAGAACTGTTTTTGATTGTGATCTTTAGTATTATCACTAGAGGGTGCCTCAAGAAAGACTATTTGTGTAACATTTTCAAGGAGTTACAGCAACTTGTCCTTGTGAAATAGGGAATAATTATCACAGGAATGAAAAGAAGTGTAATCCACAAGGTGGTTAAAAGAAAAACACCATGTTCAGCCTGAAGGGGTATGTGGAAGGCAGAAAGAACAAGCCCCACCTACAGTGCCTTGGTCACAGTGCTGGGGGCTAATTGCCTTCAGAGATGCTTTAGTTCTCTTGGATCACCAACCAACCAATCTGGTTCTCCCCCAGGAGTTGTTGCTCTGAGTTATTCCTCAGTGCCAAATACTTAAGTGTTCTTGGATAATGAGTGAAATGTACAAGGGTGAAACCTGAAACTGGTTTACAAAACACAAGTATTTCTAGATTATTTTTGTTCATTTTAGTTTTCTTAATCTACATTCTTTAAGGAGTACAATGTCATGATGTTTTGATATAATTATTTATAGTGAAGTCGTTCTTATAGTCAAGCAAATTAACATATTCATTTTCCCATATAGTTACCCTTCAAATACAAGTATTTCTAAAGGAATCTGTAGAATCTTACAAGTAGAGCTATTGTAGAAGGCAGCTGGGTTACTTGTTGAGCTGTACATCACTGATAACCATTTCTCTTCCCTGTCGACTTTGAACTTCTTGCTCAGTAGAAATCACTTTAGAAGCAATATACTTATTTAGAATGATTTTAAAATTAAAGTTGCTTACAAGAGGTAGGCTCTCACACATCTTCTTGTGAAAACAGTGTTTAGTGGGTAATTTGGTTTACTCTCGGGCAACTGTTTTAAAAATGCAAGTCGTTAAGAATCATTCAAGGAAAAATGAAATACTAAGCATTTGTCTTTGCTGTCTTTACAGATCGAATAAGAAAATAGCAGTGATCAGCACCAAGCTCCTTATGGAGAAAGAGCGGATGAAATATTTTCTCAGCACTCTTCCTATAAGGCCAGACCCAGAGTTACCTTGTATTGAAAATCTTAATAGTATAGGACTCAACAGAAAAGATATTTCCAAAACACCCATAAGAATTCCTACTTCAAACCCACAGACTTCAAATAACTGCGAGAACTCCTTGACTGAGGTTAGTTATATGACCATTTCTCTTTTGGGTTTCATTTCTTTAATATAATTCTTGTTTATAATTTGGTGAAATACTGAGTTGTTCTGTTGACTTATGCATGTTAAGTGAAGATTATAATTACCTGTGTTAACACAGAAAGGAAATGGGAACTTTACATTTTTTAATTCACTGGAGCTCTCATTTTCAAGAGATACCCATTTGCTAAGTTTATTCAATAAATGTGACTAAACTGACACATTTAAAATTTCTTTAAAAGCTGCATTTAAGTTAGGTTTTAGAAATTGCATGTTATTGCCTACTAACTGATGGTATACTTTGAGATGCTTTGTCTTACTCTACTTGATTGTAGTTTGTCTGTGGTTCATATCACCTTTTTTTTTTTTTTTGAGAAGGAATCTTGCTCTGTTGCCTAGGCTAGAGTGTAGTGGCATGATCTCAGCTCATTGCAACCTCCGCCTCCCGGGTTCAAGTGACTCTCCTGCCTCAGCCTCCCGAGTAGCTGGGACTACAGGTGCCCACCACCACACCTAGCTAATTTTTGTATTTTTAGTAAGGATGGGATTTCACCATATTGGCCAGGCTGATCTCAAGCTCCTGACCTTGTGCTCCACCCACCTCAGCCTCCCAAAGTGCTGGGATTACAGGGTGAGCCACCATGCCCAGCCCATACCACTTTTAAAGTTTCTTTGCACCATCTTAACTCTTCCCACCCATAATCACAAGTGAATGACTGGCAACCAAACACTTAACCACACATAGATATTTATTATTTAATAGAATCCAAAATAAGTGCATTTTATGAATTAAATAAACAAGACACTGAAAGATTCATTTCCATTTTTCTGTTAAAAGATTTGTGCTTGGCCAGGTGCGGTGGCTCACGCCTGTAATCCCAGCATTTTGGGAGGCTGAGACAGATGGATCACCTGAAGCCAGGAGTTTGAGACCAGCCTGGCCAACATGATGAAACTCTGTCTCTACTAAAACTATAAAAATTAGCCAGGCGTGGTGGCAGGCACATGTAATCCCACATGCAGCAACCCCATTACTATACTAGGGGTATACCTGAAGGAAAATAAATCATTGTAACAAAAAGATGCATGCACCTGTATGTTCATTGCAGCACTGTTCACAATAGAAAGACATGGAGTCAATCCAGGTGCACCCAAGGATTGGGTGATTGAAAATCCAAGGTAGATTGGAAAATTCCATATACACCATGGAGTACTATGCAGTCATGAAAAGAACAAAGTCATGTCCTTTGCAGCAACATGGATACAGCTGGAATCCACTATCCTGAGGAAACTAAGGCAGAAACAGAAACCGAATATCTTGTTTTCACTCATATGTGGGAGCTACGCATTAGGTGCACATTGGCGTGAACATGGGAACAGTAGACACTGGGAAATAAGAACGGGGAGGGACAGAGTGGGCCAGGATTGAAAAACTACTTCTTGGGTCCTATGCTCACCACCTGTGTGATGGGTTCAATTGTACTCCAAACCTCAGCATCCCTCAATATACCTTTGGAAGAAACTTACACTGGTACCACTTTAATTTAGCATACAAACTAGAAAAAAAAAAAAAAAAAGCAAGAAAAATTTACTATAAAAATTTTTTTCTATAAGTAAAGAATATAAATTTCTTTTTAAGAAAAAATTTATTGAAGTAAAAAATTGGATTGAACTTTTATAAAGGACAGAGTTTTGCTAAGAATTTCAAAGCAATGCATTCATTGCAAAATATGACTTTAATTGTTTAACTTTTTTTTTTTTTCTTTCTTTTTTGAGATGGAGTCTCGCTCTGTCACTAGGCTGGAGTGCAGTGGCACGATCTCGGCTCACTGCAACCTCCGCCTCCTGGGTTCAAACGATTTTCCTGCCTCAGCCTCCCAAGTAGCTGGGATTATAGGCACGTACCACCATGCCCAGCTAATTTTTGTATTTTTAGTAGAAATAGGATTTCACCATGTTGGCCAGGATGGGTCTTGATCTCTTGACCTTGTGATCTGCCCACCTTTGTCTCCCAAAGTGCTGGGATTACAGGCATGAGCTGTCATGCCCTGCCATTGTTTAACCTTTGTACTAATAAAACACCACCTTTCCAAAATTATGTATATCCAACAGACCAATATTATCTATTTTTGTCAGATTACTCTAAACAGCATTACACAGATACATCCCCTATTATCTAAACTTAAGTAGAAATTTTACTTTATTATGTGATTATTTTTCTATTTAAGCAAACTTCATGTTATGTCTAGTCACTAAAAATACTAAAGGCCACATTTTGTAAGTGATTTATTATTCTCATGATACTGTCTCTTGTTTAATTTAAACATTTTTTTTTTTTTACTTATTTTAGGTGGAGCCGGACTGTGTAGAACAAATAATTAGAGAAACAAAGAAAAGTATGTTGCCAAAATTTATTAATTAAATTTAGGTTTATTTTAGTAATAAAGTGTAAATAGCAGATGGCATTCCTTTTCATTGTGGGTTAGTAGATACTATGTTCAGTATCTTTTTCTTACACACATCTAATGAAAGATGTGAAAACAAAAACTTTCACAATGAAGAGTATACTTATGCACCATTAATTCATCATGTTCCATAGCTTAAAAAATTCCCGAGAAGTGTATCCATCTCTTTTTCACTGACTCTACAATTTCTTCACTTTTGGAACTGTCAGCCAGCACACTGAAAGGATTCTCCGAAAACAAAGGCATCATCAAGTTCTCAGGGTTTTGGTGGAGATTGAAGGCCAACAGACCTCAGACTCATTTAGAAATACTTAACTGAGCAATAACCCTTCATAAGCAGTCGCTTGACAGGTGATATTTTAAATCTCCTGTCGTTTACTGTGTCATTGACTTACATCTGTTCTCAAGAAAAGTTCCAAAATTTTCACCATGAAATAAAAACACCCATGTCAATGTAATTCTTGTCAAGTTACTCAGCCTTGTCTCTCACCACTTACCGCACTCTGCCCTTTGCTCTAGCACCAAAGTGGATGGAGTAGAACTCCACCGGGCTGTTGGTCACCTCAGGCTCTTTGCCTTTGCCTTTTCCCTCTATCTGGCAAGCTTTTCCTTGTCCTTTAGGCATCAACCTATGGATCTCCTCCACCAGAAAGCCCATGATATTGACACAAAAGTGGGATAGGTGTCCCTTCTGTGTGTTCCAGTAGTGCCCTGCTGTATACCTGTCATGGTATCTGTGACTCTATATGGACATTGCCTGCCTGTCTGTTTTTTAGGTTATAGCATATGACTGTTGAGAGGTGGACCATGCCATCTTCATCTTGTAATTCCAGTGCTAGTTTCAGTACCTTAGAACGTGGCTGTTGAGTACATGAATGAAGAATGAAAAAGCTGTGATATTTAACCACAGTTAGAATTTACGCTATGTGTAGATTATTTAATAGTAATTTTGGATTGTAATTGTACATACATATTTCTCATTCTTATTAACTCTGATAATGTTCTCAACTCTTTACATTTTAAACTCACACTTGGTTAACTGAAATGTATTAGGTAAAGAACATAATTCTTTCTTTTTCTTTCCAGCTTTTGCTGTGTTGGGCACTTGCTCCCATCTACTTTCTTCTCTAGAATCCACTGGTAAGCCACATCTAATGAAGAGAATATTTAACCAGAAAATCTTAAGGAAAAGTTGTATGATTTAAAAGATAATCAAACTTTATTACTGGGCTATTTACATGAAATTTTAATTGTTTCTCATAAAATATATAACATCACAATCTTTACTAAATTTTTCATGTACTAGAATATTTCTGTGTCATATGTATGTTGAAAATTTATATGGTATTTTAAATGACATTTTTTAGCCTTCTTAAGTTTTAAGTGGATCTTGCAAATGAACACCAGTATTATTGGGTTGGGCATACTCAAATTGCCCAGATGTCAGCTGTTTAAACAGCCAAACAACCAAGTCATCGTTGATACTTTAGTAAAGGTCATCAAAGGCTTATTTGCATTTTACAGTTTTTATTACTCTATATAGTAGGAGACTTATAGAGTACCTGCCAGGTTTGTCCATACTAATGTTATGATTTTCAATGTGTAGTTCAACCATATTTTGTGTGGAAATACTTTGAGGCTCTGTAAATATCTGGTTACTCCTCAAAACCCATTAGATTTAGCATTTCGTGGGTGACTTGTGTTTGAACAAGTATTACTATGATGGTTGCCAGATGATTTTCTTGTTCTCTTCTTTGTTCTACATGGAGAAATAACACCAATAAATAAGACCGGGTGCAGTGGCTCACAACTGTGATCCCAGCACTTTGGGAGGCCAAGCCAGGCAGATCACGAGGTCAGGAGATCGAGACCATCCTGGCTAACAAAGTGAAACCCCGTCTCTACGAAAAATACAAAAATTAACCAGGCATGGTGGCGGACGCCTGTAGTCCCAGCTACTCAGGAGGCTGAGGCAGGAGAATGGCGTGAACCTGGGAGGTGGAGCTTGCGGTGAGCCGAGATTGTGCCACTGCACTCCAGCCTGGGCAACAGAGCGAGACTCCATCTCAAAAACAAACAAACAAAAACAATAAATAAAGGAGAAGGGAAAGCTTATGATTCTTGTGCTCCAATTCCCCAAGATTAGGTCAGTAGTAGACATTTCAAGCTGACTTTGTGTCTTTTTGATTTGTCCCTGTTACTCTGTCAGCACTTTTTAACTTTCTGGCATAAAATATTCTAAGCTAATCTTGTATTTTCTCTGCCCCAGGGCCGGAATGAGTGATTTTTCTTAGAAGCAGAGTTGGAGCCACCGAGGAAACACAGGTGAGCGCTCCCCAGCACACACTTACTAGTCCCCAACAGAAGAACCACTGCTGCATCCACTGAGGTACCAAGAAACTAGCAAAGGACCTTCTAGCTGTCTGGGGACAATCCTCATGTGGTCTCTGGCTCAGCCTCAAGGGTTCTGGATTAGTCTCTCTGCAACCTTTGTGCTGTGTCTCTAGATCGGGGCTCTGCGGGAAGGGCCTGGGAGACCCAGAAGAACAGGGTGTCTTGCCTGCCAAATGTCCCTTCCTTCTTCCCACTCTGACACTCAGGAATAGGCTACATGGCATGTCCAGGCAGTGCCAGGCCATCTCACTATCTCCTTTGAGATGGGCCCAGAGGGCCTTGGGGGGCAAGTGTGAAGCTGGGTACCTGGAGCCTGAGGCTGACTGTCCCTCCCTGTGTCTTGGAGGAGAGGCCTTGGGGCCCAAGAAAACCCCCAAGGCCTGACCTCTGGGCACACATGCAGGGAGGGAGGGTCTGTGGGCTGATGGGGGCATTGTAATGAGACTTTGAGCACCACTGCTCAGGGGCCTCATCAGTGGACCATGGTCAGAGATGACCTGGTCATCAGGACCTGGTCAGTTGGGACCTGATCAGCAGGGACCTGGTTAGCAGTGGCCTCCTCAGTGAAGGCCTCACCAGTGGGGACCTGGTGACCTAGTCATTGGAAGCCTAGCCAGTAGAGACCTGGTCAGTGGTGGCCTTATTAGTGGGGCCTGATCGGTTGAAACATAAACTATAAAAAACTGGTTGGTGGGGTCAACTCAGTATATTAGGGGCCTGGTCAGTGTGGGGCCTTAGTGGCTTGGAGCCTGGTCAGTGAGGGCCTGGTCAGAGAGGGCTTGGTCAGCTGGGCACTGATCCATGGAGAACTGTTCAGTGGGGTTGGGGTGAGCGGCAACCTGGTAAATTGTGGTCTTGTCAGTGGGAACCCAGTCAATGGGGACCAGATCAGTGGGAAATTGGTCAGTGGGGTCTGGTCCATGAGGCCTATTAATGGGGGCCTGGTTAGGGAGACATGGTCAGTGGGGACTTGGTCAGTGGGACCTGGTCAATGGAGAAGTGGTCATTAGGGGCCTCATCAGTGGGGACCTGGTTGGGGGCACCTGGTCAGTAGGAACCTGGCCAGTTGGCCGTTGTGTGACCTCAGGCAGGGGGTTTGTCTGTGGAGCCTTCTTGCCTCCATCTGTAGGGAAGCTGAGTTAGGACACCCTGGACGGTTGCTGGAAAGAGAATGTGAGAAGATGTGTTGAATATAGACAGACCTACAACTTTACACACGACCTGGGTTCCACCTAGAGAGGGTGCCAGCCCTCTCTGCTCTGCCCGGTGCCCTTCCTCTGTCTGCATCCCCAGGACAACCCTCAGTGGGGAGGGTAGAGTTTGGGGAGCACCTGTGGAGGCTCTAATCCTGGCCCTGGGCCCTGGTAGTGACAGTGATGAGGACATGGGTGCACCTGTGAGTGGAGCAGCTAGGCCTGGCCAGAGAAGCAAGACAAACACACACACCCGTATGTACACACACACACACACACGCATGCACAAACACAATGCATGCACACATGTCAGTTCAGGGGATAGAGGACACTGACTCTGAGCACTCTTGACCCAAGCAGGCTCCCGTTGTGGTGGATTGTGTCATCCCACAATGTCGCTATTGCTGAGTCCCCATCACCTCTGTGTTGTGGAGCAGTAAGAGACACACAGCAGTGTCTGTGGGTGGCTCTGCGTGAAGGACTGTTTTCTAGGTGAGAGGCACATCTCAGCATAGCTGACTGATCAGACTCAGGTGAGTGGGACCTGCTCTCTTCTCTTCCTCCTGGCTTGGGGACAGTCACTATCAGGTGGGTGGTTTTGGCCTCTGGGCAGCTACTGAGGGTAATCCCTGAGCATTCACCAGGTGCCCGTTCTGTGCTGAGAGTCATCTCATTCATCCTCACAGCAATTCCATTCTGCATCTCCTCTGGACAACCCCAGGACAACCCCATCAGGGCCCTTGTCACCAGGCCCAGTGTGGCTCCATGATAGCCAAGACGCAGGTCCAGAGACAACTGCCCTGCATGGTGCCTGCATCTGACCCCCCTTGGTGGATAGTGATGAGCACAACATGGAAGAAGCCAGGGCAGCATGCGGACGGCTGCCCTGCAGCCCCAGATGGCACCTGGCCCTTGGGAAGTCATTCTCAAAGGGGAAGCTGGAAACTTTGATATCCCTGGAGGAAAGGGTAAACGTGGCCTCCCAACAACCCTAGCAGCCAGCAGCATGCCATACATTTTCTCACCCAACCTGTGGGACAGAGGCCCCCTCCTGGGGAACAAGATCCATATCTAAAGGGTCCTGACCCAGTCGGGCCTCATCCTGGGCCCTGGGAGGGGATAGGCACTGTGGGCCCTCCAGCAGCAGCCAGGATTACCACCCAGGGGACTCAGCCTTCTGTGGCCCTGGCCAGACTTAGAATTTGGCACAAGACAGGACAAGCTCACTCAGCGCAGCTTGTTAATACCCAGGGCCTGTGCATGCCAGGCAAGGCCAAGCTGACTCAAAGAGCAACCAGCCACCTCTGCAAGGGTGTGCCTGGAGCAGGTAGACCAGCCACCAGCCTCACCCACTCAAGGAAGCAGGGGTGGCCAGGTCCCGCAGCCTGAGTAGCTGCCACCTGATGGCTGATGGAGCGGAGGCCTGAGGAAAAGCAGATGGCACTGGGGCCCTACCTCCAGGGCAGAATTACTGATTTACCCTGAGGGCAGCGAGTGAGGTTGGTGGCTGGTCCACCTGCTCCTGGCACACCCTTGCAGAGGTGGCTGGTTGCTCTTTGAGCCAGTTTGGCCTTGCCTGGCATGCACAGGCCTCAGTGCAACAACTGTGCTACAAATGGAGCCACATAGAGAAAATGAGCAGCAGGCTCAGGAGCAGGGTGTGCGCTGCCCTTGGGGCCCCAGTCCATGCTTCAGGGCTCCTACAGCACTGTGGGCTTCTTGGGTGCCAAGAGGCAGACCACAGGCCATCTTGAGGAGGACTGCTCAAGTACAGAAAGGGCCCAATCTAGTGGATGAACCGCACGGCCAGCTTCTGGGTGCGGGCACAGTGCCACATCTTCCATCACTTCCTGATGTGCCCCACCAGTGCTGAAGAGCCTGGAGACAGGGCAAGAGGTAGGCTGAGAAGGATGAGATGGTGAATTCCAGCTTCTTCCTGACCCTGAGCCCACCCCCAGGATGACCCTCAACCTTTAGGAGTGGGAGAGCAAGATTGACAGCTTCGAGTGATTCACCAAGAAGATGGACAGCAGGACGCTCAGCTCAACTTCACAGCCAGTGAGTTGACATGCAAGCAGATGACGGTGACAGGCTTTAAGAAAGAGCATCAGAAGGCAGCCAGTTCTTCAGCCTCGGCCAGGTCTTGGAGCTGGAGCAGGCCATCACTTCACCAGAGATGCCTTCAACACTGATTGGCTCTTTGCCAATCAGCCCAGGCAGGACCTGGACCCAGTCATGGACCTGTTAGTGCTGTCTCAGGGACACCAGACCAAAATCCTGGACATCATCCGTATACACAAGGAAGCCCTTACCAAAGTCATGCAGAGCAGGCAACATGTGGCAGAAGGGAAGACAGAGGTGCAGAGGCTGATGACGCCAGAATCACAGGAACAGGATTTTTTTGGCCACTTTGGCTGAAATTCACTGCTTCCATCCAATTCAAATGAGAGACATGGACTCGCAGATGCAGTATTTCTTACAACAAGAGATACTAGTTTTTCAAAAAGTTACCCAGGAATTGGTAGTGTTAAATGACTAGATACTCCTTTGTGGACTGTTTCCAGTTCAAGGATACTTTCTACAGCAGAATAATAACACTAAAAAAGAGCTAATGCCAGCTGTTGGTGGTAGGACAAGGATGCTTTTGTTCTCAGTTGAAACTCAGCTGAATATAGAATTGTGTAGGAAACAGTTAATATGGTGATAGAATAGAAAGAGTAGCAAAGATGAACTAAATCATGCTATGATTGCCTACACTACCAGTGTAACTTTTGGAAGAAAGATACCACTTACTTTATCGCTTTTTAAAGGATGAATATTTTAGTATATATGCTGTAGACTTCAAACCGTGTGAAGAGTCTCAAAGAAGCTGGCTGTATAAAGCCTGATGTGGATTTCTTTATACTCAAAGACTGATGATGCAATTCGAATATATGTCCCCACCAAATCTCATGTTGAATTATATTTCCTAATGTTGAAGGTAGCTCCTGGTCTAAGGTGATTGAATCCTGAAGGCAAATTTCTCATGAATGGTTTAGCACCATCCTCTTGCTACTGTCCTCACAATCATGAGTGACTTCTCATGAGACCTGGTCATTGAAAACTCTATGTCACCTCCCTACTCTGCATGTTTTCCTTTTGCCATGTGAGACAATTCTCTTTCTTCACCTTGCACGAAGATTGAAAGATTTCTGAGGCCTCCCAGAAGCAGAAGCCAGTGTGCTTCCTGTCCACCCTGCAGAACCATAAGCCAATTAAACGTCTTTTTCAAAATGAATCATACAGAAAATGGCAAATAAGGACTGGAGCATTGCTATAAAGATACCTGAAAATGTGGAAGCAGCTTTGGAACTAGGTAATGGACAGACATTTTAAGAGTTTGGAGGGCTCAAAAGAAGACAGATAGATGAGAAAATGTTTGGACCATCTTAGAGACTGGTTAAATGGTTGTGACAAAAATCCTGACAAACATGGACCGTGAAGGCCAGGCTGAGGAGGCCTCAGATAGAAATAAGAAGCTTTCTGGGAAATGTCTTCCTTTTGGATATGGAAAGCTTACACAATGCCTGTACCATCATTGTACCTTAGAAGCAGTGAACTTGCTTTTTATTTCAGAGGCTCATAGGGAAAAGAGGCCGTAGCCTTGACTCAGATGAGACTTTGGACTTTGTAACTTTGAGTTAATGCTGAAATGAGTTAAGACTCATGCTGGCAAGGCATGATTGTATTTTGCAATGTGAGAAGGACATGAAGTTCGTAGGGTCAGGGACAGAATAATATGGTTTGTCTCTATGTCCCTTTCAAAACTCATGTGGAATTATACTCCCTAATGTTAGAGGTGGGGCCTAGGTGGAAAAAGATTTAGTCCTAAAATGGTGCGGGTAGATCCTTCACGAATGATACAGGACCATCCCCTTGATGCTATCCTGATAGTGAGTTCTCATGTGATCTGGTTGTTTAACAAGCTGTGGAACCTCTTTCCTCTGTCTTTCTCCTACTTCTGCCATGGGAGACAGCTCATTGTTCCTTGGCCTTCTGGTATAATTAGGAGGCTTCCTGACTCCTCCCTGAAACAAAAGACACTATGCTTCCTTCACAGCCTGCAGAATCCCGAGTCAGTTAAACCTCTTTTATTTACGATAATACAGAAAATTAGAACTGCAGAGAGGAGCTGTGAAATGTCTTGAAGGCCTTTTTCCATTTGTCTTGGCTAATTTGCACAGGGCTTTTGTATATGCAAGTTTCTGAAGTCTTGAATTTTCCCCCCTTATATCAGGTTTTGTGTTATTACTACATAGCCAACCCCACTCTAGAGATACCTGAAAAAGTAGAAGCAGGTTCCAAGTGGGTAACAAACAAAGACTGAGAGGGTTTGGAGGGATTGGAGAATGACAGAAGGAAGAGGGCCTGGCGGGAGTGATTTAATCATGGATGGGAGGCAGGTCGGGTGGAAGGAAAAAGGGGTGGGTAGGGTGAGGAGGAGTAGGCTGGCTGTAGGGTGGTGGAAGGGTGGGGTGTAGTGGGAGTAGGGAGTCGCCTGCTGCAGAGGCACAGCCTCATGGACAACCTCTACTAGGGCAGTGCACCTGTGGCTTTGCAAGTTTTAGCCCCCGTGGCTGCTCTTATGGACTGGGCTAGTGTTGAGTGCCTGCAGCTTTTCCACACTGAGGGTGCAAGCTGTTGTTGGGTCTGTGAATCTGGCTCTGCCTATGCAGCAGGCTTCTGCCTGGAGACAGTGGGAAGTGGAGGTGGAGGTGGGGATAGAGGGGCGGATCCTTCACCAGTGGTTATGCACCATCTTCTTGATGCTGACCTTGTGATATGGAGTTCTCATGAGATCTGGTTGTATAATAGGGTGTGGCACCGCTTCTCTCAGTCTTGCCCCTACTCCTGCCATATGAAGCATCTCGGTGCCCCTTGGCCTTCTGGTATGATTGGGAGGCTTCCTGAGTCCTAGAAGCAGAAGCCACTATGCTTCCTTTACAGCCTGCAGAACCGTGAGCCAATTAAACCTCTTTTCTTTATGATTATACACAAAATTAGTGCTGTGAAGTGGAGCTATGAAATGCCTTCAAGGCCTTTTCCCCACTGTCTTGGCAACCAGCACCCACGTTCTTTTCATGAAAATATCTGAAAGCCTTCGTGAATTTTCCCCTGAAAATGGACTTTTCGTCTTTTACCACATTACCAGGCTGTGACAAAGATAACTGAGAATGTAGAAGCAGGTTCAGAAGTAGGTAAAAGACAGAGGTCGGGAGAGTTGGGAACACGTAGAAGACAGCAAGATGAGGAAAAGTTTGGACCAGTGAAAAGAATTGTTAAATACTTGTGATGAGAAGGCTGACAGAAGGATGGACAGCGAAGGCCGGACTTAAAAAGTCTCAGATGAAAATGAGGAATTTCCTGTGAACAGGAGCCAAGGTTACATTTGATTGGCAGCCCTGGAGATCTGTGAAACTATAAACATGGGGGTGATGATTTAGGATGTATCTGGTGGAATGAACATCTTGGCAGCATAGCTCAAGAGGTGTCCTCTTCATTCAACAATTTTTTGTATTTTCATTCAACAATTTTTGTATTTCATTCAACAATTTTTGTATTTCAACAATTTTTTTGTATTGTATTTCATTCAATTTTTTTGTATTTCAACAATTTTTGTATTTCATTCAACAATTTTTGTATTTCATTCAACAATTTTTTGTATTTTTAGTAGAGACGGGGTTTCACCGTGGTCTCGATCTCCTGACCTTGTGATCCGCCCGCCTCGGCCTCCCAAAGTGCTGGGATTACAGGCGTGAGCCACCGCGCCCGGCCAACAGCCTGTGTTCTTATGTGCAACCTAAGAAATGACCTCAAGTTGCAACTTCTATTTAAATGGGAAGTGGAGCTCAAAAATTTGAAGAATTTGCAGCCTAGCCAAGTGGTCACAAAGAGAAGCTGATTTTCAGGGGGAAAAATTCAAGAACAC